CTCATGTGAATAGCATCACTTGTTTTATGCATTCGAAAGGGTAAGAACAAAAATACCAAATTCCACTAATGCTAGTTTTTTTAATGTGGCTGGATCAGAAGCATTGCTGGGCTATGATGGGTAAGAATGTCTGACTGCCAAAAAAAAACTGTGACATGGAATTTTACTCAGCATTGAGAGAATAAAATCATGGCATTTGCAGGTAAATGGATGGCAGTGGAGAAGATAATGCTAAGGGAAGTTAGCCAATCCCCCCAAAAACAAATGCCAAATGTTTTCTCTGATATAAAGAAGCTGGCTCATAGTGGGGTAGGGAGGGGAAGCATGGGAGGATTAGATGAAATCTAGATAGGGAAGAGGGGTGGGAGGGAAAGGTAGGGCACAGGAAATTAGCAAGGACAGTGGAATGTGATGGACGTCATTATCCAAAGTACATGTATGAAGACTTGAATTGGGTGTCAACATACTTTATATACAACCAAAGATATGAAAATTTGTGGTACATATGTGTAATAAGAATTGAAATGCAAAAAAAGTACATGTATAAAGACAAATTAGCGTGAACATACTTTGTATACAAAGATATGAAAAATTGTGCTCTATATGTGTAATAAGAATTGTAATGCATTCTGCTGTAGTGTATTTAAAAAAAATAAAATCAATTTTTAAAAAAAGGAAAAAAAAGAATGTCTGACTGCCAAAGGCCACCTCATCTTATGGGACATTGGGAAGGGGATCATTTACAAAACACCAGCTTCAAAACCCTTTTGTGCCAGGTGCTCTGCTATAGCTGAAGATGTAGTGGAATTTGGCCCACAGGCAGCTCAGCTGGTACTTTGGGGCTGGGATTCAAACCTGGGTCTAGTTCTTTCCATCAAACTGGTGCATTTCAAATTGACCCCTGTGGCATCACTTCAGACATTCTTTGCATACATTTATTCCAAATGCAGCATTAAATATTAAAAACAATCTTTAGTATGTACCCTTAAGGGTCTAAAACACACTTTAGCTGAGGCTGCGAACACCTCACAGCATGGTCTCCATTGTTGTGCATGTGGCCTATATAGGTAGAAGTCACTGATCAGGAGGGTGCTGGCCAGGGGCTGTGATCACCAAGCTGTAGCAACTCAATGCTAATGGCCCACCATCTATAAGAATTTTGGGTGTTTCTTACCTGATACATGGCAAGTGATGAATATTTTATTAATTTGTTTCAAGCATCTACTGCAAGCTGTGACTTACTATTTAAAATCACTTATCTATATGAAATCAGGATTTTTTCCCTTCCATATTGTACAACCAAAACAATTCAGAAGTAAACTGGATGCTGAAACAGTTCCCAACTAATCCATTTGCATTAATCAAAAAAGTTCCCTCTCCAACCCCAGTGATTAAAGATGTTATGACTTGAATTTTGACTATTCATACTAGTGATATCATTTGTTTTTATACTGTTGAAAAAGTAAAAATAAAAACAAAAACAAAAACAAAATTATATTATCATGCCCTTTTGATTTGGATTAGAACAGAAAGTAGGGTTCATAATTTAACAGCTTTTTTGGTAAAAGCTACTAAGCCCCTCTCCAAGATTTCTGGTCTGGCCAACACAAAGGGAACCAAGGTAAAATAGCTATTTACATAAGGTTGCCTTATGGAAACCCAAGAAATGAGGGGGAGGGAGCCAGGAAGTTTTAATTCAAATTTTGCTATTAACTCACTGGGTAATCCATATGACTTTTTGCTCCTCTCTGAGCCTGTTTCTTCATTGAAAGGGAGGAGGCTGGATTAAATTAATAGCTTTTAGACTTTTAAGAGCCAAAGCCTTTCTTTTTAGCAGATCTTTCTAGGAAGTTTAGTAGACCTTTCAGGGGCCTAGGGCTCCCGACCTACCATGGTCCTGCAGAATAAAGAAAAACCACAGAAATGGGGCTGGAGAGGTGGCTCAAGCGGTAACACACTCGCCTGGCATGTGCTGGGTGCTAGGTTTGATCCTCAGCACCACATAAAATAAAATAAAGATGTTGTGTTCACCAAAAACTGAAAAATAAATATTAAAATATTTTCTCTCTTTAAAAAAAGAAAAACCACAGAATCAAGTGATGTAACGCCCCTCCTATCTTAAAGTCCAGGATTTCTGTACCCTGCTTTGAGATTATAAATGCTGACCCATGGCACCACCTCCTGTCTGAACCCCTCTCCTGGACTAGGCTGAGCAGATTCATCCCTTGCACACAACACCTTGCCTCAGCACTGACTGGAGAACCATAAGGGCAACTGAAATCCAGGCGCTGAACAACTGTTTGTGTGTAACAATGGCATATTTATTCAACTTAAATGGTCAATGAGGCTACAGCAGAATCAATGCTGTTACAACAGGCAAGCACTACTGTCAGCAGCAACACACCAGTACATCTCTTCACCAGCATCTGTGCCTCATAGGTTACATTCTCATTCTTTTTCTTTTAAATCTTATAAACCAGTTGGGAAGCAGATAAAGGCCAATTTTAAGTACCAACGTAAAACAAACTTCACTGAAAATACAATTCAAATACAACTAGATCAATGTAGGAAAAGTTGACTAAGAACTTAGGTGTAATAGAAAAGAACTTAAGTGGTAAATAAAATACAATAGCAGCATTTAAAGACTAATTCCCAGTTCAAAAGATGCCCCTTCCCCTGCCCATACTATACCTCATGCCTGGCTCTGTCCAAGAGGTCTGTTAGATCAGGCAAGGCAACTGGCATATGCATACGAACATGCAGCAGACGAGCCCAGAGGAGCAAGGCTTCCGTGTGTTTATGTGCTGAGGATCATAGGACTCATGTTTAAGTGTCAGACTCTTAGAAGGGTCACCTCCTACAGGAAGCCTCTCATGCATTCTGGGCCTGCCCTTGAGAGATCTTGTCAGTAACCTCAACTTAAAAACAACCTCCTTGGAAATGTGACTAGAAATTAAACAGCTGGGACTCCTGTCATGTTTTCCAATTCTCTCCACAGCCTAGAGCCCATTTTAAACCCTATTAGCTCTACTCTCAGTTAATGCAATTTTGGAGGGTATAGCTGCAGCCCCAGAGACAGGCCACTTGAACAGGTACCAGTTAGATGAAACCCTGTAACAGCACCTTCAAATCAGCCCTCATTCTTCAAAGATAGAGGTCAGGGCTACAGTTAACTTCCATAGGCATGGGATCTCCTAACCTCAAGTACAGTCAAGTTTTTCAGTTATTTCAAGACCAATCACTTGCAGTCTTATTCTAGGATATACCCTTGATTCCTATTTTAGTATCAAAAACTAGAAATTGTTCAACAATTTCTATTGCACTGTTTTTGTTCATTCTCCTTTAGATCTGCCACGGTACCTTTTTCCTAGAATACTCTTTGCTAACATGCAAAGTTAACAGTGAACAGATACACAAAATTGATAAGAGAAAAAATGTTCTATACACCTCCACTGGGAAATCCCAATGGATTAAGGCAGCCATATCATGGGAGTGGAGGGGAGGAAAGAGACTTGGAGTTAAGGAGGTCAAAGTAGCATGTGTGTATTGAGAAAACACCAGGATACTCAAGTTTGGAGATGAAAAGGACATTCTGGCAGCTCAAGATCTCTGTTAGTGCCAACTACTTTAGGTCTAATTCCTCTACATAATGGCCTGAAGACACCTGGCCTTGCCCATGGAAAATGGCTTTTCTCATGCACAGCCACCTTCCATAGGGTAGTCATAATGTGCAGGTATGTATTCTGGCTCCTCTCTTCTTATCTCCAGCGGTTCTCCATTTATGGGCCCCCAACAGGGCTTGCTAAATTATGCCAGTGTTTTAATTTGATGAGGATTGAGCCATTACACTTCAAGAACAGCAGTACTGTGTATAGGCACACATTAGCCATAACACCACTCAAGTTCTTCCACACCTTGATCTGAATGGAGACTGGGCTCCCTAGTTGACTGAACCAGACTCAAGGGGCTAAGGTGGAACCCTCTTTATCTGCAGAGGACAGTTTTATTCTCAGACAAGGCACCCACAGCTTTCAAACTGAAACCAGCTGAGTTGTTTTTAAATGCTTATGCACTTTAGGGAGAAGGGACATCCACAAAGAGATCCTACAAAGCCTGCCCTGAAGAGTGAAGGCCCCCTGGGGTGCTCTGAACAGGTCACTCTTCAGAACCCACCTGACTCACCACAGACCTTAGGCTGGGGACCTGAGAGCCAGGTGCCACTTAACACCAACCTTCCAAAGAGGTAATACATCTCACCTACAGACCCACAGGATGAACAGGATGCTAAACAGCCATGTAGGGAAAGAAAATCCACTTCTTTTTAGAAAAAGTAAGAGTCCAGAAATGACTAGATATCATGGCCTTGCTCAGCTAGAAACAGAAGTCAAAAGTCTAAGGAATGGAGCTTCCTCTCTGTGGGGGAAGGGAGGATGATGCTCTATTTAAGCACATAATCCAGTCATATTCAATTCTATTTCTGCCTCCAAGTTCTCTTGCTGCCCACTTGTATTATCTCATCCAAGAAAGACTGGCTAAGATGTCTTCTACCCACTCCCCACACCATGTCTCTGCCTGCTCCCTTCAGGCTCTAATACTCCCTGGGTGGGGTGGAGAGGGGGTTCAGGGGCCAGAGAATTGGCTGCCCTGAAATCAGAGGAGCAGCCAAAAAAAAAACCAAGGAGCCTAGAGGTCAGTGGTAGTTTTAATTTTTACTGATGTGCAATTCTTCCGATGCAGAAGAACAGTCAATTGTTCAAATGCCCGATGGCTTTGCCCCTTTTTAACTTGGGAGAGCTTAGGGGAAAAATCATTAAGGAAGTGTTTTTCAGTGCTTGGGCATCATGATCAATCTCCTTGCCAAGGTCTAGAGTTGAAAAGAAATCTGTCATTTTCCTTTGCCAAATGTCAAGTTTCCCATCAGCACCAAGAGACCAAGAAACCAAGTGACCAAGAGGGGATAATCCACAGGGCAAAGAATTAAAACATGTTATAGCAAATGCCACCATGTGAAACACTCAACTTTATTCACTTTATTTATATATTTAACAATTCTAAAGTATTTACTTCTTGCTTTGACAAAAAATGAAAAATATAGGAGCACTGACTGACTCCTCTTTAGGAGAAAAGGGTTATATGTACAGCTACGGAGAGTTATGGTTCCTCCTTTACATACAAAGAAAAATATTAAAAAATGCTTCATTGATCAAAAAAGAGCTAAGAGCTGCAAGCATTTATTCACACTGTACATCAGACCCAAGAAACCCATATCATTACCTCTTGGAACCTGTCACTAAGAACTGCACAATCTTCAATTACACTTACTTCTCTCTATCTTCACCATCAGAGCATGTGGAGTGTGGAGAAGAATTACACCCTGTTTCTCTAAGCTCAGACTCTGGGCTTTGCCTGGACTGACAGCACCAGGAAATGTTTCTGGGCCACGTGTAACCATACTCAGGCACACGTAGGAGCCACCTTCCTAAGACACAGCTTGCCCTTGGCCAGGGACCTGCTTCCAAAGGGAAAGGGCTGGAACTTAAGCATTCCCTAACCTCACCCTTTCCCCTTACATGATGTACTCTGCCACCAGTTAGCAGCGTTCAGCAAAACCAAGCATGGCCTAAGAGGGAGGGCAGGCACAAAACATGGATGCCAACATCACAAAGCACAAACATAAATTCCTCCCTGTCCTTCCCCACACCCACCTCCATCACAAATACTCTTGATTTAAGGCTCTTTTTGGACCACATCAAAGTTCACTGAAGAAAGGTACCCCGAATCTCTTCCAGGTGATGTCATGTCTCTAAGGAACACTGCAGAGTAACCAAGTGGCCCTTTACTGCTGGCCAGCAGCCAGATATGTACCCACTCAGGCAGCCAGAAGCAGGGCAGGGGGACTGCTGGGCCTTTCCTGCTGCACCAAGAAAGGAAGGAGGAGGAAGGCTGATTGTGTGGGGACCTTCATAACTATAAAGGCTGATTCTACCCCTTAAGGGGAAGATCCATGATTTGTTTGGTTTGGGAATGGGGAATTTTTGGAACCCTGAGTCTGGATTTCTCTGTCCTGGCTGAGGAAGAAAGATTGTTTGGGGGACCAGGCCCTGGAAGTGGCTCCAAGGTGTGCCTGGGGCTCAGGGCGGGCCTTGGCCATGGAAGCAGGACACCACATTCTGGCCATTCTGTACTCTCACTCACAAGGAAGCACTATCTGGCCTGCCCAGGAGGCAGCCCCCTGAAAAACGGAGGGAGCCCTAGACAATTTGGGTCAAGTTAAAAACAGAATCCCATGGGGAACAACATGCTGATCACCCATCCCTAGCTCCTTCTACCTTCCCCAAAATGGGGCCTGAGGGATCCATTTGCTGTGTGTGCCCCTCCCTCCAAATATAAACCTCATTTTCTGTTTGTAAAGTGGGATGGCCCAGCCCCTCTCAGAGAGAAGGCACCTGGGGAGGTTCTCCTGGGAAAGATGCTTCCAGCTTCCCTGGCAACAAACATTTCCCAACCAACTTTGATGTGGTGGTGGTGGTATGAGGAATGATCACAAATGTTGGTGCTAACCTTCTTTCCTGCTCACTGTCTCAGGCCTCCACTCTTGGCTCTGACCAGCCTCCTTCCATAAAGAAGCACCAAGCCATCTCCCAGTGTGCCTGACAGTAAGCAGCTCAGCAATTACAGGAGACTTGGCAACCTCTGGTCTTCCATTAAAAAAAAAAATTAAAACAACCAGGGGATTTTTTTCCTTTTTGAAGGCAGAGGGAGGATGGAAAAGGGAAGGGGGAAGGAAAGGGGGAGAAGGGGAAAAAATTAAAAAAAAAAAAAAATCAATCTACAATCCAGTGGTACATCCCAATTTCTGTCACTCTGTACAGGTGATTCCATGCCCCCATTCCAAAGTGCATGGGCCTCTAGGTCTGCTCAGGCTGTGTGGCCCTGTCAGAGGGACAGCAGCTTGGCCTCTGCCCACCCCAGGTCACTGAGCTTCAGTTTGAAGTGGCAGCAATGGGCTTATCCAGTTCAAGGTCAATGCTGGAGCTTGTGGGACGTAGACTGCTATAGCAAGACTTGCACACTCGACTGGGTTCAAAGAGCTGCTGGCTAGGAACCGGGACCTTCTGGTTACAACAACTGGAGCAGAATACGTTCCCACAGTTCCTTGAGATAAGAAGAAACAAAACAATGTTAGCTTCCATTAGCAAGTATGCAGTAAAGAAACCAACTTCAACAGAATTTTGTTCTGTGTGATTTTTAGGATGTGCTGGAGACTCCTTTGAAATCAAACACTTTCATTTCTCTGGCCCAGGAACAAGACAGGCAGGAATGATATCCCTACCTAGTAGAATCACATGTCATTTTCACTTTAAGGCCAAGGATACTTGGCTGTCTTACCACAATGGCTCAAGGTTATCAGGTGTACAGGAAGATGCTGCCTGACAGACCTTTGTGAGAACAAATGGTTCCACGGCAGAAGCAGTTACTAGCTAAATGGTAAGTCCTGATACAGAAACTTACCCAGTGGCCACACCTACCTAGGCAATGGCCTCTGTGTAGCTTGTGATCACTGAGTGATCAGAGTCAAATGGAGTTGTCTTTGGGCCCTCAGAGGAAAGAAACAAGCATCCAACCCAGCTGGGGATAAGGAGCCTTATCCAAGGGCCACTACCCAAGAGGTTTGGAGGCAACAACTTATAGGGCAGACTGCTCCCATTTAGGATGGCTCTGTAGGCAGCATGCAAAGCCAGGAGTCAAGCAGCCCATAATGCATGCTCAGAAAGTGAACGAGAGGAGAGGTATAAAGACAAGAGCACAGATGAGCATACATGCACACACATACCCTTATTAGACAGCTATCAGTCAGTATGGCTCACAGCCCTGACCCATGCATCTATCTCCAGGGAAACTCAAAGAGATCTGCCAGAAGGCTTGACTACAACACAGGCCCCAGGTCTCCACCCTCTTCCACTGAAAGCCCAGCTCTGATGCATCTGTGTGGTCCAGATCAATGCCCATCATAGCTAACAGGAAAGAGAACTGACAGAGGAACAGTTTCTGCCTACCTTATAACTCTACTTTTGTTGGACTTTAAAGTACAAACTAATCACAATGAGCTCAGCACAGCAAACTCCAAGGGTCATGACACAGCCCACCAACGGCTAGGGGAAAGCAGCTCAAGGGAAAGCCTCCTTCTCAGCCAGCATCTCTTTCTGCCCTTTTCAGTCAAACCCCTCAGTATGCAAACCTATTATTGGATTAAGGCCACTCAGGCACAGGAGAGAATATTTAAGACTACTTGGGGACAAAAGAACATTACAGAGAAAAAGGTGGACCACAGGACCACAGAAAACTAAAATGAACACATGGAGAACCTGTGGTTACACAGAAAATTTTCTGAATGCCTATGCTTTTTTTTAATATTCCTGCTGGAGTTCAGCTCAAAAATCTGATACAAATTTGATCAATTAAGCTTCTCTGACTTCTTTCAGGGGACTCCAAAAGACCTAAGTGGAGTCTTCCCTTAAAGTCTTCCATGCTAAAACATTCTCTGTGAAGATCACTTGTTCAGTTCTGTCTCTTTAAAAACAAAACAAAAAGACACACTGATACTTGGAAGCTACAGCAACATTTCAATGAATGACTGACCCAAAAGAAATAGTTCTGAAAACCCAACTGGCTCCTCCATAAAATTAGACCCTGCAGAAGCACTGTTTCTGGTTACAGACGAGATGGCCCAGCTGACCTGTATGGTCAGGAGAAAAGCACATGGCTGCAGCTGGACTCAACCTCAATGGTCTCCATCATCAGCTGCTGAGGACCACCCCCAAGCCCACCTGCCTGCCTGTGCTCCCCAACCTCAGGCTTCACCCCACTGAGTGCAGAAAGGGGAGATGACAGCATTAGTGTGGAGAAGTTATTATAGATGTGCAGACATCACAGACAGTTTGTTGCAAATGCTCACCACGTTTGATCAACACAGTCAGTGTCCCTGCAAGGAGGGGAGAAAGAGCTCAGAGGAGAAGCCAACCAAAGATACTTGGGCTTGGGGTGCAAGGTGGGAAAACATGTGGTCCTAGAAGCACCATTAACAGATAAAGATGCTGTCCCACTTTCAAACCAGGTTCACTCATGTGGTGAGCAATGATCCAATTCTGATAAACATTCTATCCCAAGAACACTGAACATCTGCCAGTCACTACCCCAGTGAGGCCAAAGCATCCCTAGTAATTCACTACGCAAACCAAGAAAGAGAAAATAAGTTGGGATCCATATGAATTGAAGACTATCCTCGGCTCTCTACTACTCCCCACAGCTACAGCTGTTCATCAGTGGCACAGGAACAAGAAGTTCAGGGACAAGGAGCAGGGAAGGAGTAGGAAAATGAAGTACCCTGCCCACAGACAGAAAACTATTTTTGCTCATGGTAGTAATGTTGAATTTTATGATGGGAATAAGAAACTGATTTGAGTGGTAGCTATTGCCTCACCAATCTGGGGCATGGGGTGGGGAGAGGCTATCATTTGAACATTTCAAAATATAATAGTGATCACTCTCAACTGGAAGAAAGATATCAAATGTAGTTCTTCAGCACCAAATTCATAGGTACAGAAGTCTGCCTAGACAGCACACTGTCAGATTCTGCCCAGATAGCATACTGCTGGCCAGATGCCTGCCATCCACCATATTGCAGACTCTGTGGGCCAAAGCTTAGTTTCCACACCCAGCCCACACCCCCCACGGGCACCTGTAGTGGTGTTTCCTGCTGGTGAGCCAGAAGGCACTGTCACACGCATAGCAGTGGGCAGCCAGGTGGTCAGGGACCAACGGGTCATCTGCAAAACAGATGGGGCAAGGTTAGTGTGACAGGATGGGCCAGGCAGCTGGAGCCAACAGAGCCATGCTGGGGGCAGCAAGAGTCACAAGGACCATATTGGCTCTGGAAGCACCAGCCCAGCAGGTCTGATGCCAAAAGTACAAGAAAGGCGTCCAAATGGTTTCCCTGGAGGGGACTCCAATCTCCCCTGAGATAAAGTGGCAGCATCACCCTAGGTTGCTGTGAGAGCTGGCAAGGGTCCAGTTCACAGAGGCAACATAGACAGAGGGCCAACCTGCTGAGTCTCTCTGGCTCAGAAATGATGGGCCTGATGTGGGTTCACAGGAGCTGAAATACCAGAAGCTCAGGACTAACTGTGCTACGAGGTTCTTCCTTGGTAAGGGGCATGGGGCAGGGATGGGGCTGAAGAAAAACCACCAAATAGTTGCATGGATGGCACTGAGAGCAGGGGCCGAGCCTGTACCTCTGTGTCCTGTTTATCCACCTGCTCCCAGCTGGCTTCAGAGAAAATCTCTGTGCTGCAGCGAGACAAACAGTTCTGATCCAGATTGCTTTCCGAGTCAGGGATTGAAGTCTGTTGGCAAACAAACACAGCTGAACAGAATGAACCCGGTCTCCTCCAAAAAGAAGAAGAAAGGGCTTGGTGAAGAAGGGAGCACTGAGGACTAGGTGCAGGCATAAGTACTAGGGCTACCGAATCTGAGATGCATCAACCATTGGGCCTTGGGTTAAACAGGTGCAGAGATGATGCTGGGCTCAGTTGAAAGGAGATACCCAGGTTGTGTGCACTGACACTGGAGTCAAAACATGGACCTTAGGGTTCCAGGAAGTATGTGGGAGAGAAGTGACCAGGATGGAGTGGGAACTCAACTCCCAGTGTAAGCTGCCCTGGTGGACCTGCTGATCCAACCACGCCACTTTGTAAAAATAGTGCTCTGGGCATGGCCTCCTTTCTCTGAAGGATTCTTTGCAACAATGAGAAACCATCAGTAGTATGAAGTAAAGGCCAAAAAGTTACTTTGGATTGAAAGTCATTGGATGTGCCCGCCTTTAATGTACAATGACAGCTTCAGAGCCCAGTTCACAATTGCACTTGACAAGACCCACCAAAGAAGAGAGCCCCTCTTTGAAAACCCTACTCTGTTACTCTCATTTCTGATTGGCAAGCTTCATCAGTTAGAAACCAATTCCTTCTCTCCATTTTTACTGCCAGCATCTACCAAAAAGTGGATACAAACATTTGTTTAAAAAAAAAAAAAAAATCTAACCTATCAATTTACTAGCTTTTACAATTTCACAAAATACTTGGCATTACTCTTCAAATGTCATTCTGAAAACAGAGAATCCTCTCTCTGAAGAGATCTGAAGGTCCATGTAGTGCATGCTCTTTCCTTTCTCTAACTGCCCAAACAAGACATGAAAGTAAGCAAAGCAGAAAAGAGACAGTCTTCCATTTACATGGCTGAGGCTGATCTTCAGCCTCCGTGAACAGGGCTACTTTAAACCTTTTCAATTCATTTAGAAATCCTCACCAGTCACCATGCACTGGGTAAAAAAGTGTGCCCATCCTCGTTCTGCCATCTTCTCTCAGATGGCTACAGAGGAACCATGACCCACTCACCACTTCATCTCCAAAGTCCCCATTGAAGCACAGTGATCCAGTCAGGTATTGGCTCTCCAGGCGACTCTTCAGCTCCTGGACTTGTTTCTTCAAGGTCTCCGCTTCCTGCTGGTGGCCTGACTCGATCTGACGCAGGCGCTGTTGGATTGTGTCTGTGTACACAGGCATGCCATCATCATCCAGGTGGTTGTGGGAAGGGTGCTCAGGGCTGCTGACTGCGGATGGCCTTCCCCGAGTGGCTATGCAGCCACTTGTGGTGCAAGTTTCCAAGAGTGTAAATGGACAGAGTTGCAGCTTGTGACAGACAGCTGGCGGCTCAGCGAGTCCTTGCTCCTCCCAGCCTCCGCATTGGCACAGTGCCCATTGGGTGTGGAGTTCTTCTGGAGGGTGCCAAGTGCTGGGGGCTGCTCTGAGGCCTTGTTTTCAGTCTCTGGGGCACCGTTACACACAAACCCCTCTTTACATTCGGCTAAAGGCAAGGCACAAGGGGCCTGTGTTGGGCTAAGAGTGCTGCCAGGAGAAGTCCTGTGGACCACAGACCCCCCTTGTGGCTTCTCAATGAGGCTCCTCTCAGCAGGCCTGGGCTCCAGTGCTGGGGGAAGCACGTCTTTGCCACTGAACCTGCCAGTGATAACCAGGCAAGGCTTACGGTGGACTTGGGGTCCACTTTCTGACTTCACATTATCTTCCATCAACATATCCATGGAACTGTCCATGTTTGGTCCTCTGGTCTCAAAAGGGACTTGGGAAGGTGGCAGAGAACTAGACAGTGAGGTACCATAACCAACTTTTACATCTACTGGGATGGAAGGAGCTGCATCCTCCTGGTTCTCTGCAATATCCTCTATTGGAGGCTGCTCCAAAGGAACCTCCAGAGAATCCTCTCCCCTGTAGGGTTCCTGGAGTGAACTGGAGAGAACACTGGGCCCACCGTGCTCTTCAGGAATACCCTGTGAGAATAGAGACAGGCTGGAGTCTGGATGGCTCCTCAGAATAGCAACCCCCAACTCTGCTTCTTGGTAAAGTACAATGGCTGAGCCTTCAGTTGCTATCCTGTTCTCCTCTTTGATCTGTGGCATCTCCACACTACCCCTGTGTGCAGGCTCTTCAGCCCCACTCTCTTCTTTGGTGGCCTCTTGCAAAATGTTCTCCATCTGCCCCTCAGCCACCCCAGCTGCCACGGACAGCTCAGCACCCTGGGCACCCGGGTGTCAGCAGATGGCTCCTCTCCAGGACCAGCAAGGTTGCTCAGTTCCAGAGATCGCCGGTGCTCCTGCCACTTCTCATTCAAGCTGGGGTCGCTGCTTCACCGGCTGGCCAGAGGCACTGTGCTGTCGCAGGCTATGGTCAGATTGTCAAATGATCTAGTCTTTGGTAGGCTAAAAGATAGAAGTTTGGGAAAAGTGAGAATCTTGGAGGCTATTCAGAGATCAGGAGACAACAGGTTTTAACAAGCTGGAGCTATGACATTTCAAATAATGTTCTGGAGTGCAAAGCTCCCTCATAAGTCCTCCTGTCTGCACTGCCTCTAACCTATGCCCCATCCATACAAATAAGTTAACAGCAAATGTTATTTTCAAAAGGCATTCTCCCTGATGCTGTTGTGTTTCCTCAACTGGTGGCAAGGTCAGACTGCTGATTCTTTGATATTACAATATTTTAATTTATTAGCCAATCACTCTGAATTTAATAAAGCTAATTCATAAGTAGCAAAGCCAACATTTCTATGATCTCACAGCATTTGCTTTCAAGCTCAGAAGACAAATCAGGTCAGGGAGGCAGGAGCAGAGAGTAGTGGATGAAATACAAACCAGGGTTCACAAAGAGCACAGAGGATGTACTCTATCACTGAGAAACTGCTTGGTGCATGTCGTAGAACAGGGCCCAACTCACTTCTGGAAACTAGGCTGTTGATTATCTTCCCAGAGAAAACTTTAGAGACCTAAGAACATGTTGTGGAGCCAGACAATATCATGATCTTTAACCATCCCTGGCATGTTCCCATACAGGAATATACCCACACAGGACCTGAGGCCTGTGGCATCACCCCTGGGCTCACCGGCTCAGGGGAGGATCATCAGGGCTGGTCCCTGGGACTGGATATGGTGCACAGCTGTCATCCACAGGGGTAGAAGGAGATGGGCAGGGCAGATACACTGCACTCCACAGCATCAGGTTACGCACATGGCACACAGGGTACAGTACCTGAAGAGGGGGAGAGGACAGATTTAAATATGTCCCAATAAGCATTTTAGAAATATCTGGAAAGATCAAGAATATACTCCCAGCTCTAACACCCCACAGCGCTAGGACACTGATCCCTGGGGAAGCAGCATCAGTGGATAGAGAGCTATCTCCTAAAAAGGCCAATACAGGACTAGAGATTCTGTTTGGCAACATTTTTTACCTAAGCACCTCTTATGGGCATGAAAGTCTGAAAGGATCTTTTAAAGGTCCATTTTTTCATTAAGTATTTCTCAGGTCATCTTTATTGAATGACTAACTTTCATCAGCTTGATTTGCTGCATAAGAAAGTGAGTCATTCTGTTACAGTGATTATATGTTTCCTGTATAAAAGCCTGGCTTCAGCAGAAACTGCCAAACCTGCTTTATAGGATCATTTATATTAATCATGTGAAAAGGAGGGTATTTTCTTCTTGCACTGTTACTCCTCCAGGAGGTAGGGTGAAGGAGGGAGAGAAGCAGTTAGCTTAAATCTTTGATTTGATTATTTAAATATAATGAGAAGCATATGAATATCCCAGCTAAGCAATATAACTTCTGATTAACCTGCTTTGATTTCTTATGGGTTTAAGATGCATTCTGAACAAAGGAATTTTACCATCTATTGACACGCAAATGTATGTGCCTGTTTTCTCTGCTGAACAGAAGGTATTCCTTTGAGAAACAAAGTCTTAAAGGGCCTGCTAGCTCTCTTATGAGCAGAGAATCACATATACATAATCAGTATCAGACCCAGTTCTGTGCTGAGATAGAAGCTGCAGAGGATATCATCACCTGGTACATGAGGAGGTGCCAGGGGCCTAGGAACAGCTCCTTCTGAGATATGAGAAACACCCAGAAAACAACTTAAGTGCTCTTCCACCAGTTAAACAAAACATGCTACGAATAAATTAAGCTCTGGAGGAAGTGCCAGAAAAGATTGGTGTCTAGGGTGGCAAAGTAGAAATGTATATTAAAACACCCTAAGCAAAGTGGTCAGAAGCAGGTCAGAGCATCATCAGGAAACAGTTCTTTCTGAGAATAGTGAGGGAAAATGGAAACAGCTCATCCATAGATAGAGATGCCTTCACAAAAAGAAGCACTATTCAAACAGGCTCCCATTTGTCCCCCACCCCAAACTCATTCTGCTGATGACAGAGGAAAGACTGAAGGATACATACGGCTTCTGACTGGGAGGAATACAGTAGGTTTTTGAAAGCCTTGTTGCCAGCCCGAAGAAGCGACCATACAGAACATGTTCATTCCTGAGTATGCTGTTCACCTCTCTCCTTGGCATTGTTGCACAGGAATGTTCCAAAGAGGCAGGAATAGGTATGCTGCACCAGTTTCACCTATGGGAGTCCAATGAGGCAAAATCATGCAGTAGGGCACACATGGGAGCCCAGCAGAGCCATCTACCCCAACATGTCTGAAAGCACTTCAGTTTACGCTGTCAGGATAGGGAAGCCCGGTTGGTCACACAATAGCCTCCTCTTCATGCCACCAACTCCAGGGCCTGACTCTATCCACCAGCATTCCTGAGTTAAAGATAAACTGGTACACCCCCATTCCTCTTAGATTCCCTGTTCAACAGTCTCTGAGCTTCTGAGTTAACAGCCATCCTCAAGAGCAGCAGAGCACAGAAGCTGGGTGCAAGAGCAGGTCAGTGTAAAACTGTGTCAAAGCTGAAAGCACATTTGTAAAACTATTTGTTTATTCCACAAATCATTACTGAACATTTCACTTGCCCCAGGCATGACTACAGGTACCAGAGGTGATGGATATGCAGCAATTATCAACCAGCTTTCCTGCCCTGATGTAGCTTACTCTAGCTAGGGCAGAGGTGACAAATACTATGAAGAACAATAGGACAGGGTGAGAGGGGTCTAGGCTGTGGGAAGGCCTCACTGGTTGAGACCTGATAGAAGGAAGAGAGGAGGTCATGTGGGTATCTGATGGAAAATGCTCTAGGCAGAGGCAACACAAGCACAATGGCTGAGGGGAGTACATTTACAGTCTGAGAAATAGTTAAGAGGCCAGTGGAAGGGAGGGGGGGATAGGAGGAAACAAGCCTAGAGAGGTAACCTCTAGGATGGCCTTTTAAGCCATTTTAAGGACTTTGGCTTTTACTGTATGAAATATAGTTACTGGAGGTTTCTCAGCAGGGGATGACATGGTCTGTCTAATGTTTTAGAAGGACTAGCTTGACTCTATATGAAATGAGAGTAGGAGATAATGGTGGCCTGGACCAGTGTGACATAGTAGAGGTGACAATAAATAATAGGTTTTAGACACATTTTGAAAGCAGAACTGAAGACTCAAATAGACTGAATGTGAAATAAGAAGGAAGAGTTGAAGATGGCATAAATGTTTTTGCCCTAAATGACTGGAAGGATGAAGTTGCCATATGGTGAAATGGAAGAGTCTTACAAGATTAAGTTTGTGGGGAGATGTAGAAATCAAGAATCAAGTTTTAAATGAATCAAGTTTGAAATGCCATTAAGACATCCAAATAGAGATACCGATACCGAATGTTCATGATTGTGGCTGAAGTTAAGTGTAGAAGTCTAAGCTGAATGGATTCTCATCACATGGAGAGCAATTAAAGCCACTGGACTGGGTGAGATCCTTCAAGTAGTTAAATAGTAGTTACATGGAAAAGTAGCCTGGAGGATGAACCCTGGGGCATTCCAAGATTCAGAACTAGGGAGACCAAGAGGAATCAGCAAAGTAGACAGAAAGGACCAGTCAGTGAGGAAGAGGAGAATAAGAGTGGTAAGTGTAAGAGGTCAACTTGAAGAAAGTATTTCAAAAAAGAAACTGAACTGTGCCATTACAATTGATGGATCAAAGAGATAAAGATTAAGCACTGATAACTGGGTCAGCAAAATGAAAGATCATTGGTAACCTTAACAAGAGTAACTTTGGCAAAGTGTTATGGTGCATGCCTTCCTGGAGTGGGCTGAAAAGAACAGAAGAAATTTGAGATAGCTAATATAGGAGCTCTGCAGTAAAAGAGACCACAGATACAGGATAATAGCTGGAACAGAATGCAGGACCAAGAAAGGGTTTTGATAAGACAATATATATATATATATATATATATATATATATATATATATATATATATATATATACATATATATATACACACATACACATTATACTTTGTCTGCATGTTTACAGCTGTGATCTGGGAAAGAGAAATATGCCATTGCAGAAGGAAAGAGGAGAAATGCTGGAGCTAGCCAGCAGGACAGATGGGAGGAGATGGGAACTGTGTATAGCAGAACAGACGGGCTAAAAAGGACAAGGATAGTGCATCTTTTATCAAAGGAGAAGGGAGAAGAGAACTTTGGAGACAGTAGGGGCTTTAGTAGATGGACTGGAGGGAATATGGGACACACGAATTGCTTCTATTTCTAACTACTATTTAGGGTTTCTATCATCTCTTTTAAAAGCTAAGTTTAAAACAACTCAAGGTTTACAAGAAAAAAAAAGGTACATCTGGATTCACTAAGTAAAAAATGCCTATTTATTATTGTTTTCAAATAAAAATAGGAGAAAATAATGACCCCTCTACTTAAATTTAAAAAGGCTACATACTTTCATGTGAAAATTGGACCACTAATATTTGCGTAAGTGGTCCAATTTTGGACCACTTTTATCACCTCCAATTTTGATGATTCCCAAAATCACAAGGAATGCTTCATTGAACTCAAAAGAGCAAGGAAATTGCCTCTGAAGCTGATGAACGCAGTCAAGCCATTGCAGAAACACTGGGCAACGCTCGTTCAGATCATCCGAGTTCTCCCCATGACCGCACTGATCAGTAAACTTATGGCCAAAATCTAGCCACTCCATCTCCACAAGGACCTGGAAACCCTGCAGGGAGGCACCCAGGAAAGACAATTTGTGCTGGGCTACCAACACTGTAGCAGTCCTGAGCCAGGTGTCACCACCAGCAACCCCCTTTAACAGCTTCCCAGTAGGTTCCTCTAGCCTAGGTCCATAGCCAGCTCCTTCTATTGGTACACAAGTCTAAGGAACTTTCTCAATTATCTGAACTCCATTCCACATTCACTGAAAGGGCCCTAACAATGCATCTTAGTTAACTAAGCTCCTTTCTTGAATTTGTTCATACTTTTAGCCTCCAGACTAACATCTTGAGAGATGTGTGTGTGTGTGTGTGTGTGAGAGAGAGAGAGAGAGTGTGTGTGTAATGAGTACCAGGGATTGAGCCCCAGGGGCACGTGATCCACTAAACCATATCCCCAGCCCTTTTTTGTATTTTTATTTAGAGACAGGGTCTTGCTAAATTGCTGAGGCTGGCTTTGAACTCATGATCCTCCTGCCTTAGCCTCTCAAGCTGCTGACATTACAGGTGTGCACCACTGTGCCTGGCATTTGAGGGACAATTTCCCAGAGAAAATTAAGATTTAATGTTTTATAAAAGCCACATATTCCCCCTTAATTTTCCTTTTATTTTGAATTTTGCACATTTGGTGCTAAATTTACAAAGGCATTTTTGTAAAATCCTTCCCCACCCTACATTTTTACAAATGTTTATATATATATGTGTGTGTGTGTGTCTGTATGTGTGTGTGTGTCTGTATGTCTGTGTGTGTCTGTATGTCTGTGTGTGTGTCTCTGTGTGTGTGTGTGTGTGTGTGTGTGTGTGTATGTTTAAGCGTACTTTGTGGTTTTTCTTACTTCTTTAACCCAAAAGGAGGTTATTTTAGGGTCAGACTCCTTCTTGACAGAACACTCTTTTGGTAATATCTAGACCTATTATCATAAGCAAACCAAAATCCTTTTTAAAGAAGCCTCATTTTCCTGGGTTAGCCAGAACTTTCCCATGTAGACAGGCTATAAAAGAAAAGATCTATATTTCTCAATACCTTGTAACCTACAATCTGACACACTTTAATAGGCATAAGAACTGCAGCAGGCACCTCTAACAATGTAGCTCAAGGTGCAGGAGGAATAATTAAAAACAAATTTGGCTTTCTTTAGACCTAATTGCTACCCCCCAAAAAAAAAAATGATCATAAGACTCACGGAGACCTCCCACACTTGTTATACAGTATCAACTCCCACACTTTGGACACACTCACCTCTATGGTTCGGTAATAAGGGTCCAGCAAGAGCTTAGCCAGTGCCACAATCTGAGGGGTGCGGTCCCAGCCATCTGAACAGTGCACTAGTACAGGTCGCTGGTCACAATCCACAGCATGCACCACCAGAAGGGCCAACTTCAAAAGCACAGATAGGTGATGAAGCCACTTTGTGCTTTCAAGAGCTGAAAGCCAACTATAAAAATAGGAAGGGATGAGGCATTTTTTTATGATGTATTGATCATATCCAACGCCTGTCAAATAAAAAGCAATACCCCAAGATTTTTCTCTTCAAATGTGACACTGCCAAAACAGACAGAAAATCTGTTTATAAAACATGTCCAAAATCAAGACTCAGGCCTTACTCTGTAATAGAGGGCATCCTCAGAAATATGGACTGTATTTAATAAGACCACCTTTGGTTCTAACATGCTGATGAGTAATTTCCCAGAGAAAATTAAAAAATTAATGTTTTTCAGTCCATAGTAGATACACACAGTATAAGAAAAGTGGAACCTTCTGAGAGATATTTCTAAGATGTAAAACAGAAGACATTTAAGAATCAACAAACCTTCCCAATAATTTCTCAAAAGAAAGTAAACTTAAAAATATAAATAGTCTATAATGAGATATAAGCTGAACACTGGACACCACACATGGGGGGCTGGAGTTATAGCTCAGTGGTAGAGTGTTTGCTTAACATGTGTGAGGCACTGGGTTCAATCCTCAGCACCACATATAAATAAATAAGCTAAATAAAGGTATTGTGCCCATCTATAACTAAAAACAAATTTTCAAAAAAATCTGATGATGTGGCTGGGGTTGTAACTCAGTAGTGAAGCATTTGCCTTATACATGAGGCACTCAGTTTGATCCTCAGCATCACATAAAAAAAAAAGGTATTGTGCCCATTATATATATATATAAAATCTGGATGAGCCTAATAGGATGATTTAGACTTATGAAACTAGTCTACCAATGGCCACATGGAATTGCTAGGCTTTACCCATACCAGATTGAGCAGGGATCTAGAAGAATCTTTTTTAAAGGAGCACTCAAGAATATCAGATAGCAAGAACTGCCTCTTGGGAGTAATCACCAACTGACACATTTGAGTTTTTGTTTTTTGTTTTGATTTGTTTTAATCTGTGTTTACATATGTTTCTTGTGCTTCTCCCTGCCCCTAATTCCCAAAAATGAGTTCAGATTTTTCTAAAATGCAAAATTTGTGGTTAAGACAAGTCCAGGTCTTCAAACAATGAGCCAGACAGGAAGGAATAAATACAGATGAAGTGGTGGTACATCTATTTTAGGAGTAACTGCCAACACTGGGACTACAGGACAAAGCCATAAAGGTCTACTAAATCTCAGGGAATGAATGAATTTTTGGAAGAGTCTAAGGAGCAGGGGATCTTCCCAGCCAGACAAACAGACTACAGAATTAAATGCATATGTACTGATTTCATATAGATTAGTACCGTCTACCACCTGGACTGTGACTCTTTGGAAAGCTGACACTGTTTCCATCACAGATGTACTGAGTGCCTAGTATTCAGAGAGGAGACCTACTGTTTAATGAGCTGTGAGTCTGCCATCAGTAAAAACACAATATCAAGACTTTCTATCTCCTAGTAGATACTTGGAAACATTTTTTCCTGATATACCAATTGTTTATTCTCATTGTTCACATGGCCGTGAAGGAAACCAAACTATAGGCTTAAGAGACCAAAAATGAAATTATCTTCTTACCTCTGGAGAAATGGTAAACAAAAGAGTCAGTGTAGGTTTCTTTTGAACATGACTGAACCGTTATAAAATACCAGTTGGTGCTACCCTAGTCTAAGAGAAAAGCTGCACTCTGAAGTATGCCAGCAGAGGAGGTTCTGGAATACAGCACACTCCCCTGTGCTACTCTCAAACTGGAGCAGAAGCATCCCCTATTCCTCCACAACCCGAAACCACCATTGGGGATGAACTTAGAGCCATCCCATCACTACCAAAGCGGCTTTTTTCCCCCACAAGAGGCTTCGGTAGTGCATTATGATTTGCTGCTTCTTTAATAAAATTCCCTAGATATTAATTTGGAGGAAGTAAGAGCTAATAATCTGAGTTCAAAAACTAGCTTTTCTAGCCCAGTGGCTTGGAAGACTGAGGCAGGAGGATGGCAAGTTCAAAGCCAGCCTCAGCAAATTAGTAAGACTCTGTCTCAAAAAATAAAAAGGTCTAGGGATATGGCTCAGTGGTTAAGTGCCCTGGGATTCAATTTCCAGTACCCCCCCAAAAAAAAAAAAAAGCTATTTTCTTAATTTTAATATGGACGATATGAGAGATCACATAATTGGCAATCTTTGTTTTATAGACAAAAAACTAAGACCTACGGTAGTAAAGTCACTTTGCCAAGGTCACAAACTCAGTTTGCGGCAGGTCTCCTGGGTTCCCAGCCAGGCACATTCTATGCCCCATCTTAGAGGAAAGGGTGCTGCCAGATGGGTCCTGGAATTGTGTAGGAATTGCAAATAGCAAATCCCAAAGGAAAGTAGGAAGCTCATTTCTTTGAACAGTCTGCCCACAAAGGACACTTGCTTTAACCTAAGGGTTGAATGGAACTGTAATGAATTTAATCCTTTGCTAGTAAAAGTCAATACAAGTGGTTTAGGCAGTACCTGATTTAATAAATCCAATAAAGAATGCAGCAAAACTCAATGTGATCATGAGATCTACTGAACAGGACCCAGGGAAATGACTATGGGCTTTAGCACAAACTCTAGAAAAAATGAATTCTGTCTTCTCTGGCACCAACTCTAGCTTCCTGAAATAGTAGAACAGGGGCTTTTAAATATTTATTGTCCATATTTGTTTTACAGAGCCCTGCTCCTAATTTATCTTGTATTCAAAGAGTACCCTTGCAGAGGGTATTACTTCACCTTCCTTATTACAAATGCCAACCATTCATTTTTAATGAGCAATAAAAATCATGATAATGTTCTCAGTAAATAAAAGAGTAGTTTAGAAATCAGAAGCAAGAATAAAAGAAACTGACCTAACGACAAGTTTAATCCATTTTAGAACATGAAGAGTAAACTGACTTTTTGTGGTAAAACAACCCAGTTCATAGCAAATAAGTGTCACTATAGGATTTCAGAAAACAAAGAATAAAAATGCTTTAGGACAAAAACAACATGAAAGAGAAAGGGTGGGAGTCCCAGCACAAACAAGGCAATGCTTCTGTTCTAAAAAGGACTGAGATTTTTTTCCTGTGCTGCACATTTAAAAATGTTTCAAAGGGCTGGGTTTTTCTTCCTTCTCTGCTCTATGCTGCCTTGCTCCTGATGCAGAAAGAATATGTAAAAAGGCTAAAAATGTAACTTAAGTGTACCATGAATCAGGAGAGGATACCTCCAAATTTAATTAACAACAAAAAAAGAGCAATGTAAAACTAAAGTCTTACTTTCCCGGATCTGGCGTCTGTGTGCACAGCAACCTCAAAGACTGAAAACTCCCCATAAACACAACTTCACAGTTTGGGTAATAATTTGGAAAGAATAACAATAAAGAGAACACAAATATGTTGAATTTAAAGCCTGCATGACCAAATTTAAAAGATGCAAACTGGCTATAAAACAAATCCATTGCAGCTGCTAACTAATGAAACTGCAATGTTGTGATGCTTGACTATTAATCCAGTGCTTTATTCAAAGACGCCAACAGCACTTGCATTTTAGCTGTCTTTGTAAAAGAGGTGAAAAAGGAAGGTTAGAGCTGTAAAGAAGGTACTAACAAAATAAAAGCTATTTTGTTTTAAAAGAAAGACCTATAAACTTCCACCTCATCTTTACTTCCTGGGCCTCATCTATTTGTGGCTCTGGAATCTCTCTGAAAAGAATCTGGCAGAACAGTGCTTTCATGCATTTAAATTTTATCTTGGTACAACTGCTTCCAATTTCCAGCTCAGGTCACACCTAAATAAGGAGCTTGGTACCTCTTCCTGCACCATCAGCCACAACTGGTACCAAGGAGTCCCTCCTCAGAGAAAGCCACCATTCAAACAGCAAATGTGTTACAAGTCGGGACAATTTTCACCCCAGGTTTTCTAAGGAAAAAATCCCCACATGGAGTTTGCCAGGAGGCCAGTAAGGAGCATACCCACTGTCAAAGGCAACAAAAAGCTTTTAGAAGACTGAGAAACAGAGCCACTAAAGCAGCATCCAAATGTAAACAAGTCTTATGGAAGATTTGCTTTCTTTATCACCTAAAGGTTGGCAGGAAAGGAAGATTATTTGGCTTCACTGCACCTCCTCCTCCATATCTGCTTGGAAAAGAACACACAATTTTAAGAATATAAAGAGAAACTCTGGCTCTCTCAAGAAAGAAGGGGAGAAATATCGCTTGTCACTTATTTCAAATTGAGAACTAAGTCCAGGTTGGGCATGGGCTGGACTCATAAGGAGATAGTAGTTGAGGACCATGCGCCATCCACCTTACCTGGGCATTCGCAGCCTCCTCCTTTGGCTCGGTTTGCCACAGCTGCTGCATAGGAGCGAGCATCCAAGATCAAAAGCTTCTGCGGTTGGATGGCTAAACTCTCTGCTCCTGAAGCATTTGATAGAGAAGAATCTACGGACATCAGGAAGGGGGGATGGGTAAAAACTAAATAAACCTGTGTCTCTGAGAACTGTGAAAACTAGAACCAGAGACACATGTTGTAGTACCAAAAAACTCAAATGAAACCTCCTAACCAGACCTAGATAGATGAACTACTCTTCTTAGTTTATTTTCTATTTTCCCTTCTTATTAAAAGTTGACAATTCATTTTCCAAAACCAACTCCTGAGGTAAACATGGAGATCCACATAGCCCAACCTCTTATATCTCATTTCTACACCTATAGTCCAAAACTTGGTACCTCCCTACAGGAGTATAGATACACTACAAGTCCCCATCACACTCATACTCCATTCTTGTCATGACAGCCAGGCTTGAAACAAAGAGTCTTCTGGTTCTTGGCCAAGACTCAAGACTCCTCAAATAATCCCATCAAATTCTCTTCCAGAAAGCTCTTCTAAAGAAAAGGCCACTTTGGGCTGGCATTGTAGCACAGTGGCAGAGCACTTGCCTTGTACATATGAGGCACTGTGTTTGAGCCTCAGCACCACATAAAAATAAATAAAATACAAATATTGTGTCCATCTACAACTAAAAAAAAAAGATAGAAAGAAAAAGAAAAAAGAAAAGGCCACTTCAAGAAAAGTTTCTCATATACTATAAAACTGCTGCTGTGGGTGCAGGTAGCACCTTATCAAACGAAACAAAAAGTTTGAACCCAGGCGCGCTTAACCACTGAGCCACATCCCCAGCTGCCCCCTAACAGCGCGCTTTTTAAACATTTTATGCAGGGTCTTGCTAAGCTGCTTAGGGCCTCATTAAAGTTGCTGAGCCTTCTTCCCCCTACTCTCCCCGACACACCCCAAACAGATCCTACCTTTGGAACTGAAAACACTTGCCTAGAAAAAATCTGAGATTTCATGAGTCAAAAATTGCTCTTATTTAGGCAGATGGCTCAATAAGCCCACTATCCTTCCTCAGGCTCTTAGTAAAAGAACAGCAACCTCAATAAATCATACTCTGACAGATCTTTTTTCCCAAAGCAGAAATCATACTCACAGTCTACTTTAAGATGCTATTAAAGCCCAAAGTGTTTTCTAATTAGGCAATTATAGCAATTAAAAGGTTAGAAAAATTATTTAGCACTAAAAAGGAATAAAGTTCTGATACATGCTACAACACTGATGAACCCTGAATATGTTATGCTAAATGAAATAAAATAGACAAAAAAGGCCACATATTTTATGATTCCATTTATATTAAAATATCCAGACTAGGTAGATAAAATAGATTGCTGGTTACCCAGGGGTAAGGGCACTGAGGATGGAACAAGGAATGACTGCTAATGGTACAGAATGTCTCTTCCAGGTGATGAAAATGTACTAAAATTGATTGTAGTGACAGTTGAACAACTCTGAATACAGTATACTAAAAGTCATTAAACTGCACATTTTAAAAGTGTGAATTTTACATGGCATAGCTCAATTAAGCTATTTGTTATTGTTATAAAAGTAATCAGTTGGCAGTAAAAATAGCTGGTAAGCAAAAAATTTAAATGTCCCTATTCTATAACTCCAAGGAAAATACTTATGTTTTACTTTCCTTTAAAATTGTTTGTTAAACATGTATAAGCATACACACAAACACATAAATACGACACAGATGGATTTAAATAAAACATACTACTGAATCTATGTTTTTTCCAGGGAACAAAGTGAGAAAGACTATTGTATTTAATCCTAAAGCTCATGAGCAATAAATTCAATTTGGCAATAATCAAATTCCCTGAAACTACCACTTTACTTATAGTTTTTAAATCCTCCCTCACCAGGAGAGACAAATATTGCTAACACCCTGAACTGGCTCATGTGCTGAATGAAGCCAAAGTGGACATAAAATCTCATTGGCCAGGTGTGGTGGTTCACACCTGTAACCCCAGCCACATAGGAGGCTGAGGCAGGAGAATCCCAAGTTTGCAAGGAGGCCAGCTTCAGTAACTTAGGAAGGCCCTAATCAACTTAAGCAAGACCCTGTCTCAAAAAAAAAAAAAAAAAAAAATGGGCTGGAAATGAAGCTCAGTGGTAAAGCAGTACCTCTGGATTCAATCCCTTGTACCAAAAACAAGTAACAACAACAACAACCAAAAAGATAAGATAAGAAAACCTCATTGATTTTTTTAACAATGCCTTGCAAATAACAGGCACTGGGTAACCACTGAGGCAAATGACTGCAAATCTTCACAGAAAAGATTGGTGGGACCTTTCCTGAGCATCCTCTTCCTCCACAATGTTTCCCAGCACTGCCCAAGAGGAACAGTAGATGGCACTTTTCAGTCTAGGTCTTGGATTTTAAGGGTCACTGGCTATATTTCAACTGGACTACTGCTTTCTAAAATGCTTTAGACTTCATGAAAGAGAACTCAAACACTACAGTTAAAACTCACTAATTAAACAGTATTTCTATCACTTTAATAAAGAGGAGGAAAATTATAGAAGTTGAGATAGCCAACACTGAAAGCTTCAATTTTACACAGAAACAACTGTTTTGAAGTATTCCCAATTTATAGGTTAGGCAAGCCCTCTACATGATTAGGAGTTACTAATAATCACCACATGCACAAAATGGGGAGCTGTGAATCGCAATACAGACGGTGCTCTTTGCACCATCTTGCTATGTTAGAGCAATCTGTCTTCAGTTATAAATCCAATTAAGTGTTCTCTCATCACAGCAGGAGAAAGCCCTAATCAGGCATTGGTTCAGCATGGTGCTGTCAAGTAACTGGCTACTGGCAACCTCAGGAATCATTACCGCAAAATACAAAATATAACACACATACATACACACACACACACACACACATATAACATATTTACTGAATTTGGTGTCTGTCATATTCAGAAGCACTCTGCCACCTAGGCTGGTAGAACAGAGAGTGATAGAGTGTCCCAAACATATTTCATGTACCCCTTAAAAAAAAAAAAAAAAAGCTGCCAACTAACCTAGCAACCCAGTTTGGCACTCAGATAAAAGATATATGTTCTCTAGTTTGAGTCATTTACATCAAATAAGAATATTAGTTGAAAAAAAAAAAAAGAATATTAGTTGAGAATGTTTTTCTAAGTTTTATATTCTACAAAGGCCTAAAAATAATGTATAAAGTGCAACATAGCCAACATGCAAAATTCCTTTTTACTTTTATTATATAAAAGTAATTGGAATTCTTATCTAATAAATATGATGTAGATATATAATAAATCATTAGATAGGTAGTGTGTTTCAATGAATATGTAATAATATCTGAAGACATAAGGATTTCTAGTCATTAAACAAAAACTAATGAAATGTGTATCAGGAATTATAAGTTTGCCTTTCTAAAATCAAAAAACAGCTAAATAATATTATAAATCCACTTGATTAACTGGTGTATTAAAAATAGATGATTGTGAAAACACCTAGAAACATGAATAATATTAAATGGAAGAACCACATATAAAACTGTATATCAATGATTACAAGTAAAGACCATTCTTTAATATAGAGTGGGTATAAATATTCCTATATTATAATAGCTGATGTGGTTATAAATAACTTTTTAAATTTCTTTCATATAAATTTTCTGGATTATGATTAGTATACTTTCTTAAGTAAATAGTAAAGAATTAGAAGGTTTATGATGCTTTAAAATTAACCTTCATCTAATTTTACTGTTTCAACACTAAATATGAAGGAGAAATTACAATTTTATTTTTAAGCAAGATTCCAAAACGGTAGTTTTAATCTAAATTTTGTATTTTATATAATATTCAACATAAGTTAAATTTAAATCAACCATAACAAGTTAACAGAAAAGAAATATCAAAATCTATTGCCAAATAAACAAGGTCAATTCATTAAAAAAAAAAAAAAAGATATATGTTCTGGGGCTGGGGTTGTGGCTCAGCAGTAGAGCACTTGCTTACCATGAGCAAGCTGCTAGGTTCCATTCTCAGCACCACATAAAAATAAATAAATAAAATAAAGGTATTGTGTCCAACTAAAACTAAAATATATATATTTTAAAAAGATATATGTTCTGAGACAAAACAACCAGTTCCAGAAAACCTATCTGGATTTACAAAAGCTATACCATGAACTTTCATTTATAATCTTTTGAGAGACTTTCTCTGAAAAACTATAATTAAGAGTTTTCACTTGTATATATACTTTATGGTCTCTACAAAGGGAAAAAAGCCCTAGAGTTCATGCCCTCTAGAACAAATTTTAGAAAAGAAAAAAGGCTTCTTATTTTTATTACACTCTAGTTTTTCTTCAACTAGTATTCTTAGGCTTCTCTGCCAAAAGGAAGATTCAATCACAGCCTTTAACTTAGAAAATGAGAGCACTTCCCCCTTATGTTCAAAGCCAGCAATCCTTGCAAATGCCTGATCTAAAGCAGTTGCTGGCCAGGGCAGTGGCTGGCTGCTTTCCCCATTCTAATGGGACTGATCATTGATTAAGAGTCATAAATCCCTTCAGTTTTTACTGCTCTCCAATTCTTGTGTCATCCTTACCACTTGAGTGATAGGTAAATTTGGTGACCTACTATTTTAGGACTGTCTGAAAATAAGAGTGATGAAAACTGAGATTGAAAACTTAATGGGTTCTGCTGAGCCATAGCAAACATCTTTCCATCTGTACTCAGGGTGAGCATCAGAATTTGCCTTCAATGAACTAAATGAAAATCTGGTTATCTCCATAAGATCTCCACAAGGAGAGAAATCCCTTCCTACAACCTCGATATTTCAGTGGAATGCCTCCTGGCATCAGAGAGTTTCTAACTAATCCATTGACTTGGACCAATTAGTCTGTGAAATGGAAAAATGAAATGGAGAATGCTATAGGATGTAATCATTACTTCCTAGAAATTTTAACATGATAGTGTAAAAACTGAGATAGTCACTGAATTAGAAAAGCAGGGTTCAAGTATACAATCTACAATCTGCTCCAAACATTTCTTAAAGAAGAAGCCCAGTGTTTATAGGCCCTCATTCAGATGTCACAGTACATCTGCAAAGTAAGACCTATCTATCATTCCCCTTCTTCTCATTAGGAAAAGACTGGGGTCAGCTAGGAGACTTACTCAAGGGCACAGCAAAGAATGTCAGAATAGGCTTGACCTCCAGTCTGTGTCTCCAAAACTTGTACTCCATCACCATTCTACCATCTCCTTCTAGAACTTGCATTCCTTGGTTCTCACAGCTTGGATATTTGAAATCTTCAACCAAGTTCAGCCCCACCCTTTTTCTCTAAATGCTCTCTCTCAAAACAAAATTCTTCCTCATGCTAAAGGGTCAATCACAAAGATAATCACAGATGATTCAACACTATTCTCAAGACTCATTTTCTAGGACTCACCTCTCTCAATCCAAAAGCCCTGCTAATATCTAAAGCTAAATGCAGTACCAGCACATGATCTTCTCACAGAATGAACTAGGAAGGATCTTGAAATAACAAGTCCGTCTGCTTTTCTATTAAAATTTTCTCATCAGTGTCAACTGAATCACCAGCTAATGCACAGGATGCATTATCAGTGTGTTACCAGAAAAGCAGCTTTAGCAATAAGGAAGCACAGACTTGCCTGGAAAGTTCTCTGAACCATTCCCTCCCTAGATTAGCAACAGCAGAGACAGCAGACCACAAGTAACGAATGAGAAGTAGCACCAACCAAAGCTGGGGCTAATCCAGCTTACACTTACCTGTAGACAACGGCAGGGATACATTTCCAGGACCTGAAGCTTGCTACACTTTCTAGCTCTTTATCAGTGATCCAGGCAGGCACTATGAGCTCTTGTGGATAACTACACCACATAACCTAATAAGAAAGATGAAAAGGGGGATGGGGAAGGGAGGGAAAGACACTAGGTGAGCCAACACAGAGATTCTGATCATGCTATTACAAAACCACTTAAAAGGCAAGGAGGCGTGAGTTGAGTTTTGGTCTCAATAGAATGAAGCACGATAAATGTTTGCTTATATATCTCTTGGATTGTTGATTTTGATGTTACCTTTGAGAATCTGGCAATCTATCCAAGAAAGCAAGATGTAGGGGAGTTGAGGGGCACTCTCCTTATTTATCATAATTCTCTGTTGTAACAAATACATAGGTAATTTTTATCTACACAAGACCCAATTATTGGGGAGGGGGTTCACCTCTAACAGACCTTTAGTCATTCAGACTTTTGTTGAAGGAAATGTGAAAAAGGATAAAGGTTCACAATTTCAAGTTTCCAAAGACCTCTTATGAGTAATTCATTCTTTGATTTGAACCAAACAGATTGTCCTAATTACAGGTAACAGGAGCAGCCTTGAGTATAAAGAAACAATACCACATGCCAGTGTAGGTGCACACTCAGTCTCCTTGAGAGCTAAGTTAGTAATGTGAATGAGCTAATAATCATAATGTCTATAAAACACACTTCAGAACAAATTATATTCAAGAAGAAAAAAATCTTTTTTTTTTTTTTAAGAGAAGACGTTAGCTGCATGCCAGTCAAGCTGGTGTCACAGGAAGCTGTGTTTCTGATAGGTTTGTATTTACAGGACAGTCTCTCTCTGTGGGTAACCCAATCTTCCTTTTTAACAGCGAAGCTTGCCACAGACTTTAATCCACATCTTAACACACACAAACTCTACCACCTCCACCACCCTCTACTCTAAACTATTCTATGCATTAGAGGAAGAAATAGAAAAATGCACTGGATTGGGAATTGGGGATTTTGATCACTTTGCACCCTTCTCCTTATGATACTCATTTTCTTAATTTCCAGAAGACAAAAGTATCACGAATTAAAAAGCCACTAAACTAAGAAAACAGCTATGATCAAGAGCAGCTATACAAACTTTCTAACACCTACCCCATAAATTTAGCCTGGGACACAATGATCATGATTAATATTCTAACCATGAGCTTCATTCCTTTCATTCTGTTTTAAACTCAAGAGATTTGGCTCTCATTCTTCCTTTTATAGAACTTTACAATGACCCAAAGACTGATTTTAGAGTGGAACTAGTAGACTCAAAGACAAGAAGTTAATTTTTTAAATCCATATTAGGGATTTTGTTTTTAAATAATTAATTGTGTGTGTGTGTGTGTGTGTGAGAGAGAGAGTGAGAGAGAGAGAGAGAGAGAGAGAGAGAGAGAGAGAGAGAGAGAGAGTCCTGCACAATGTATAATGAACCTATTATTTTTCTAATGACCAATATAGGAGCTTTAAAATGCTCGCACGCATTCTTGCGCAGTACCCAGGATTGAACTCAGGGGCACTCAACCACTGAGTCCCATCCCCAGCCCTTTTTTCTTTTATTGAGAGACAGGGTTGCTTAGCACCTCGCTTTTGCTGAGGCTGGCCTTGAACTCGGCAATCCTCCTGCCTCAGGCTCACAAGCCACTGGGATTATAGGCATATGCCTCTGTGCCTAGCTTAATTCAGGTTTCTGACTCACCAATTTTTCTGAACATTATGTTAATGTCCTTTAGGTACTGCATTATCCGGAAGTCAGCCCTTAAGCAAGTACTAGCTGCTCACTCTGAGTAAGCAATTCCATTTTAGAAAAGGGGGGTTATAATCAGCAAAGCCTATAGTAATCTCGGGTTCTAAGGCTCTCCCTTTTCCAGTCTTCACTCTCCTTCTCTGCTGTGACTTGTCACTGAGAATAAGTAAAGATATGACAGACAGATCTGCAGACTGTGATTCTTCAGAACACCCAGGCTTTTAACTCCAAGGGTGAGGTCCATATTAAGAGCTGTATACAGGGGTGGGGTTGTGGCTCAGTGGTAGAGTGCATGTGTGAGGCCCTGGGTTCAATCCTCAGCACAACATAAAGATAAATAAATACAGGTATTGTGTCCATCTAGTACTAAAAATATTTTTTTAAAAAAAGCTGTATACAGTAACAAGCTATAGTTTTTTCAATGAAAAATGAAATACTGTGATGGTCAGACACAAATAGACCAGGAAAATAGCTATCATAAAGTGAGGCAGCTCAAAGAACCAAAGGATGATTAGTGCTGCAAGGAAACTTAAGAAAAGGATATATTAATTTATATTTTCTGGACAATTTTGTTTTACAGAAACTCAGATAACTGAAATCACAGTAGTTAATTGTCTTCTCCCCACCAAAGCACTTACCTGTTTCAAGAAAACAAGTAATAGCTAAATATTTAATAATTATTACATGAATATTTAATGGGGAAATGATTATGATTATGAAGTAACTTTTATATCAACATACTAAAAGACCAGAATATTACTTGTGTCCATTTCATAAGATTTACAATGAAATTACAGTCACAAAAACTAGTTTCTGAAGGTTTTGTCACTGCTTTTCATTGATCCTAATTCTCATGTGATGCCAAGTGAGGATGAGAATAATGCTTACCTACAGGTACACACAATATGATCTAGACATGCATGTGCAAAAACAACAGAGGCCTGGAGGGATAGAAAGGAAGATTCCCGGATCACTTTCCACTCCAGTGGAAGCAACAGAATGAAAGGCTCAAGAAGTACTTTGATGATCGTATAGTTACACTTAATAAATAAAACCATTTCAAAGAAAATTCTGGGTTCAAGTGTTCTTCCACATGAGAATTGGGGTTTCTGCAAAGGTGTTGGTTGTCAAACACAGTTTACAGGGACCCATATAACTCACTTATATTTCTCATTGATGTTAGAAATCCTCCAGGCGTTGTTCATATCAAAACCCATTCGCTCCACTTCATTCTTAAACCTTGACGTTACATGCTCCCCTAGGGACCACAGACAGCAGAAAGGAAAAAATGAATATCATTTTGCAAAACAGAATAAAAGCATGGTTACCTTGTTCCATTACAGTTAAAAATATGTTAAAAGACAGGAATTGTATAAATAAGTCCAAGTTAAGATTTTTATAAAGAAAAAGGAAAGAAATTTAATTTTGAGCAAGATTTGACTTATGTAATCTCTAATATCAACTATGAGGGCAACAGTACATAGCTCATTTTACAGAGAACAAACAGACTGACAGATTAATTATGGCTTATCTCTCTGGCCCCAAAGCACATGTTCCTTCTTTTGACCATACTGGTCACTTTCATACTTCCACACTCAGAGTGACATAATAAATAAAATTAATTAACAAGATCACCAGGAATAATAATGATCTACAATACTTCATTTGAAACCTACTGTGTCTCATTTCAGAACTTGAGAATTTTCTGAATTTTAAGATGGTGCATATATTATACTCTTAGGTTCATGATCTCAACGGGAGCTAATAAAGCATTGATACCTTTTTTTCTTTTTGTATACCAGGGATTGAACTCGGGGACACTCAGCCATTAAGCCACATCCCCAGCCCTATTTTGTGTTTTCTTTAGAGAAAGGGTCTCACTGAGTTGCTTAGGGCCTTGCTTTTGCTGAGGCTGGCTTTGAACTTGCAATCCTCCTGCCTCAGCCTCCAGAGCTGCTGGGATTATAGCCATGCACCACCATGCCCTGCTGAATTTTTTTCCCCCTCAGTGAACTACATGGGTAATTCATACCTCGTGGGATTAATAAAGCTACAAGTAGTTTCCTGTCAGCTCAGATCAGGTCAGGTCAACTCATTGAACAGTAAGAGAAGCCTTTTGGTTTTTAGAGACTTTGAGATTACAGAACTACAGTAGTAGTCATGGAATCCCAATTGCCATTACCCAAATGCACCAGGAAACACAATACTAAACTAAAGTGATTGCTGGGCTCAGTGGCACACATCTGTTATTACAGAAATTTGGGAGGCTAAGACAGGAGGATCCCAAGTTCAAGACCAGCCTCAGCAACTTAGCAAGGCTGTAAGCAACTTAAGGAGACCCTGTCTCAAAATGAAAAACAAAAAACGCCAGGGGTATAGCTCAATGGTAAAATGCCTCTGGTTTCAATTCCTAGTACCCAAAAATAGGTAAAATCTGGCTACTTTGCCCTGATGAATTTGGCTTTTTTCCTCATATGATAACAATAAAGGTAAAAATGAACCTAACATAAAAGTCAGTAAGTCTGAAATATCTTCTTCCCTAAAAACACATTTGCTAGAGAAATAAAATTATTAAAGCAAAAACAAAAACATTAGCAGACCCCTAACATACACAACCTGGTGTTACAGGTTGTAAAATAAATGCTAGTGCGGGCTGAAAGAAATCACAATGACAAATAAAAGCACAAAACAGACTGCTTTGATAATCAAAGCATAAAGCTTTCCTCTCCCTGGGAGAGGAATTACAGAATAGCAAACAGCAATTACTTGAATGAAGGACAATTCTATAAAACTACTTCCCATTTAAACTGCTTTTCTTGAGCTTAGACTAGGTATTATGTGTTTCCTGAAGGAGAACTATAAAAAGATGATGTTAGAGATGCAGAGAGAAATAATAGCTGAATCTGCTCCATTTGGAAAAGTTTTAGAAGCAATGTAGTAGGCTTCCAAATAGGAAAAAGAAGCTATCCAAATGGGGTGCCATCTGTCAACAAATTGAAAGGAATATTGACCATGAAGAACAAAACAGGAAGTCTTTCATTCAAAAATCAAAATCTAAAGGCTGTAAAACTGGCAACTTCCAAATTCAGTAATGAAAGAAAAGATATTTCTCCTTCTTCCTGGTAACAGGTCCAAAACATTGCAAAGGCAAAAATACCTTTATTAAGGATGTTTTACATTAATCTCTCCATCTTAGCCAACATAAAGATCTTGTGATTTAAAAACAATCACTGGCAATAACCTACTATAACTACTAGCAACAATTTGCCACATAGAACCAATAGTTAAAGAAGGGCTTAGAATCACCATCCAGAGCACAAAATTCTGATCTTCACACAGAAAAATAAATACTGATTAATGACCATAGAAAATTTGTTATTTTATGTTATCCTATAAATCAGTGATCTTCACAATCTTTGAAACTGATTATCATGACCCACAATATGAATTACATTGATGTTTACATCACAACGCAGTTTAAAATATTTTTACATTTATATTTTTGAAAGATTTTCACAAACAATACCCTTACCATGTGTGTGATGCATTTTGACATTTCTCATTTTAATTCATTTCTTTACAATTTGATTTCATGACCTATTAGTGAATGCTTTTTTAAAAAAAATCTGGGCTGGGGTTGTGGCTAGTAGCAGAGCACTTGCCTCGTTCAATCCTCAGCACCACATAAAAATAAAAAAAAGAAATTAACAGCAGATCTTATAGACAAGAGTAATTCAGCTTTTGAAATTTGTGTTAAATATTCACTATGTTTATTTAGCCAGAAAAGTGAATAAAACATATTATATTCCTCATAAGAATTTCTACCTCAGCATTCCCATGTCTTAATTTATTCAACATTGTATACATTGAAATATCAGAACTTATTTTAAATACTGTGACCATAAGGTTTTTGTTTGACTTTATATTTCCATTTCAACTCTTCCTGTCTGCTTCCTTCACTCCCAAATGGGGATCTGTCTCTTGTTAATGCTTAGTATTTCTTATACCACAATTATAGACAATCCAACATTTTTCGTTTCACTGGAGATAAAACTTACTTTAAAAAATAAGTTCCCTCTATCATAATCACAGAATCAATCTACATTCAAAAAAATTCTTCCCCCCAAAATCTAGCTCATTGGATGATACTAGGTATTAAAACCCACAATACACACATGTCAAAGGCCTAGGATAAAAGAGATAGGCTCTTACCCAGCATGTGAGGAAGCAAACCCTACCAGACTCAGAGGGGTAAAAACTACATCTCCAAATTTTCAAATGTGGAGGGAAGAATCACCCTTTTATATGTACAGAGATCCCAGAGAGTCCTCTAGGTACATACTTCCTGGGCTGTATTCAAGCCTGGATAAGACTGAGACTTATATGCTGTTAATGGAAAAACAAGAGGCACTTAATGGGCATTTCTCACCTGATGCTAAACTAGTAGTTGAACTGCCCAATCATCTGTCAAAAGACTCTAGACTAATGCTCTAATACAGAGCCATCACCGAGAAGCCAGCTGCAGTGAGGAGCAGGAAGCTGAAAGACATGGGAGAGAAGCTAAAGCTTTGAATCCACTCCTTGTATAAAGTGTGAGATGGGGCTAAGGACAGAATCAAGGGTTTGGTAAAAACTTTTACAGGTTTCACCACTGAACTCCAATAGCAATGCTAAGACTTTTTCCAAAGCTGATTAAGACCTAGAGTTATGGCCACAGTATCGTTGGCTTAACTAAAATTTATATTAGTACCAAGATAATCGTGTGTTTTGGCCATTTTCCTCCTCTCTGATACATTCTATTCTTAACAAGCTAGGTGCAAAGAACTGATAAAAGGCTTTATTAACTGCTGAAAGACTATTACCTCTCAGGCTATGCTTGTGATCTCACATATTGAGGAAGATTATACAAAGGCATCACTTTAAAAAATCTCAAGTGTTGTCTCACCTTTCAGATGACTTCTTAGAATGTGGCTGTCTGGTATGCTCATAAACGGTGAGTAATGAATGCTGTAGCCACAACCAACACTCAACAATAGTGGGTGGAGACAGGAGAACTAGGTGAACTGGCTTTTAAAAATACCACGAGTATTCTGTTTCTTATTGAAAGCAAATTTTTCTTCTGTAGTCCATAGTGAAAATACATAAAAGGACAAAAGCCATAATACAACACACTTAAGGTCACTAAAATACAATAACATTCCATGTGAGAGGGGCAGGTTGATTTCAGCACGGACCCTGTGTCTTGGGAAGGAACAAAGTGTAACCTTTACTCAGAGAATCTCCAACATTGGTTATGACAGCATTACCTTGTAAGTTGCATAACTTTCAAAGAGTCTTCACAAGCATTGCTCATAGGAGGCACCCAAAACATTTACTGAACTGAACTCTGTAGCATTAAAAGATTTGCTCTTTAGGACATCCAGCTGAATCAGTACGGACAGGAAGAGTATGAATATCCCAGTTTGAAGAACAAAGGAGACCCAAGTGCAGAAAGGATGAATGACTTATCTGATATTATTTTCAAATAAATAGTATAGGTTTAAATTCAGGTTTTCGAACTCCAAAATCAGAACTTTACCACTTACATGTATAATAAGCCTGTGGGAAGACAGAGGACACTGTAGATATCTCTAAGTCCTGATGGCCAAGAAACCAGACATTATCAGGAAGAGAAGAACTTGGGGACCCCTCTTAAGGCAAAGCCACCCATAATTAAAAAGAGTGGGGTTCTGACTTAGCACATGTTAGGAATACCCTAAGAGTTGGCTTAAATACAAAAGAAACTGAAAGTATCAAGGGAATAAATAAATCTTCTTAAAAAGATGAGGACTTGGGGCTGGGGTTATGGTTCAGTGTAGAGTGTTTGCCTAGCACGTGTGAAGCACTGGATTCAATTCTCAGAACCACATCTAAATAAATAAACTAAATAAAGGTTCATTGATGATTAAATTTATTTTTTTTAAATGAGGACTTTTCAGTGAAAGCAAAGGACAGAAGAAAGTAAGCCTTATTGACAAAAGCTGACAACCCCAAATTGGGAAATGTCTCTTTAGAGTTAGGGATCCTAAACAAATCACAATTCTTATATAACATTATGAAGTATGATGCACTCTTAAATAAATTTATTATCCTAGGAGATGGTGGAAACTAAAAATTTCATAAATAAGAGGCAATGATTAAAAACTCAGAAAACATACCACATAAGATTTGTACAGTTTGTTTCCTGTAAACTTTACCATTAAAATCCTCCAAACTTGAAAAGAGCCATAAACAAATCCAAAAATAAATTTAAAATGACAGCATCTCAAGAAAAATGAAAAACAGGAAAAAGAGGGGGCACCTATCAAGAAAGGAAAGTAAGAAAATTTCAAGGTGGGGACTGTTTCTTGTGAATGACTGGGTTCCACTAGCCTACAAAGGCTCAGTAGACTTTGGATTCTGAGGCTGCCCCTGAGGCTCCATGAGGGTAGGTACCTCTGTTCTTCACACTAGGTAGCCATAGCACCCCACACCTTGGCTTTCAATAACTGAGGACTGGTTTTAAGTCCTACCTTGCTTACTGACTAGTAGGAGAACATGGCAACAGGTTTTACCTTTAAGCTCCCCATTTCTTGTGTTTCTTTCCTTTTTCTGAGTCTCCATTTCTTTGGCTCCTAAAACAAGGATACCAACCTATCCTGCCTGATTGATGAAGTCATAAGAATCAAGCAAAAGTATATATCAAACATCATTTAAAGTAAGACAAGGCTTATGTTTGTCATAAGCCTTTTGATTAAACAGGACAAGAATCTGAACCAAAAGCTTCCCTTCCATCATTGATGGGTCAGGATACAAAGTAATATAAACATAGACCCTTTAGCCTCAAATGTTTTAAATGACCAGGGCAGACACCGAAAATTGAAGATTCAGTATTAAAACTTCAGGTTTAAAGAAAAAAGTCCCAAAAGTAAGGGAGCTTACAACTTTCCACTGCTTTTAAATTCAAGACACACTGAAGAGTTGTTGTTGGACCACCAAAGTTCCACTTATGGGAGCATAACATTTACAGAAAACTGCATGCAGAGAAATAACATGATCTTGGTCAAAGCCACATCAGAGGGAGAAAGAAACTGGAAGAGACAAGGACTATATGAGGATTCAGGAAATCTGGGTTTTAGTACTGGCTCAGCGTTTCTGTATTTGTCAGTGAGGAAGACAAATTTGCCTTTCTGGATTTCTTGTTTCTTCATCTTTGGGCAGAAAGGGGAAACTACTGCTAATTTATGCCTTGAAAATTCTATGAGAGCAAAAAGCTATTTTGTATTCCCTATTCGCAAACCTGTGTACCTCTATTCATGCTACTTGCCCTCTAATGTTCCCCATTCTCTAATCAATGAGCACCTATTCAACCTTCAAAGCCTACTCAAAAGCCTTTTTTTTTGGACTGGGGATTGAACCCAGGGGTCCTTAACCACTGAGCCACATCCTCAGACCTTTTTTATATTTTGTTTAGAGGCAAGATCTCCCTGAGTTCCTTAGGGCCTCACTAAGCTGCTGAGGCTGGCTTTGAACTCATGATCCTCCTGCTTCAGTCATCTGAGTCACATTACAGGTGTGTGCTACCTCACCCGGCTCAAAAGTCATTTTAATGTGAAGTCTTCCCAAACTTATACACAAAACTCACAACTCCCTTCAAATGGGATTCCATAATACCCATGAACCTTATTATAGTTGCTTTTAGGTATAGAACACAATACCAAATCTTTTATTCTTCCCTTCCCCTGACAACAATATGTTCTTAAAAGGATTAGAAGAAAATAGGCACCTGCTATGATCCATAAAATATACATTGATTGGAATATAAGAGTACTAAGACCCCCCATTTTGTATTAAGGTTACCTCCAGCCCCATTTTAGAAAGGGTTACCTGGTCTGCACAGGTCTCCATGTTGCTCTTTTTCACTGGCATAGACCTCCATGCACCAAGCATGGTATGCAAATGAGAAGAGATCTTCTTTTTTAGCAGGTGGTCGGATTGCATTGTTCAGTCGATTAAGCCAATCTTGACACTGTTCAAAGGTTGAGAACTGACACCTTTGTAAAGTCAAACAAGTACGAATATAATCAGATGACAGCTGACTATGAAATCTAAGAAAAGGCACCATTTTGAGAGTGTCTATTTATAGTGAAGTACTAACTGAACAGAAAGCATCAAAGGCAATCATTTACATATTCACTACTGTTTATAATAAAAAAAACAGTTCCAAAAATTTTTAGCCAGCAGTGCAAAATATCAAAAAGATGAGAGCTTGGGGCTGGGATTGTGGCTCAGCGGTAGAGTGCTCGCCTCGCACAGGCGGGACCCAGGTTCGATCCTAGCACCACATAAAAATAAAGGCATTGTGTTGTGTCCATCTACACCTAAAAAGTAAATAAATATTAAAAAAAAGACGAGAGCTGGACATTGGAAAATCTGATAATCTAATGAAACTTCTCCTTATAAGGATTAATTATAATAATTAAAATAAAATTGCAGTTATTGTCTTTCAGAATGAGATTTCATTCTACTTCTTCAATCAGTATTATGGTTGTCCCTTTCAAGAAATATATTTTGAAGAGTCCTTTTAGTTTGTTATGACATTTTAGGCTAAGGTTAAAAAAACAAAACAAAACACAAATACTACTTTTAGCCAGCTAGGGAGTAATCAAAATTTGTCTGTTTAGCAATGAGGACAAATCAGCATGTCTGGATACAAATAAGACAGATTACATTGAAATTTTCAGCTGTGAACATGCACAGAACAAAACAAATTCTATCTTATCAATTGCAATTTTCGTTATGTACAATTACGAAGTCAAAATAATAAATGCAAACTGTTTTTTTAGCAATTAAGTATTTGAGGTTTAAGACTGAGTAATTAATAAGCAAACTTTGTAAAACTATGAATGATAGTCACTATCATCATAAGTAAACCAAATCTCACTGGCTAACATGCAACTTCAATATTTACTTGAAAACTAGTAAGGACAGCATTTATACCTCTTCCTTGTCCCAATCAATCTGACTCATCGACATGCTGACATACAATGCTTATTGGTATCTCAAAACAGGTCAAAGGGATAAAATAGACATGTTCAGAATTTAAAATTTCTAGAGCTACTAAATTTAAAAGGCACATTTCAGATATCATTCTGCAACCATTATAGTTAAAATTAGATGAGATAAAAATAATCAATGAGTGGTAAATTTATGGAGAAGTTTTGATGAGAAGCAAGACATTTTCTCAGAGTGTTTCCCTAGACTATATTAGTTGTAAGGAAGAAAATATAGAAATTACACAGAAATCAGATGACGGCTTGATTGAAATAATCAAAATTCACCAATGAGGGACAAGTAGACTGTTCACCTCTGGATGTAACACAATAATGCCCTGAAAAGGACACAATATAAAATTCCAACTGAATACACAGTATTCCAGCTGGGAATGTATAACATCAATTTAATCTCGATGAAACCTAGGACAAACACAAAATAACAAACATTCTATTAAAAGAAAAGACCATATTCTTCAAAATGTAGATGTCACAAAAGACAAGGAAAGGCTATTGTGGAAAATGTTCCAGATTAAAAGAAGGCTATTGAATTATGGCAACTAAATGTATTTATTATCTGAGCTACACTGGATTCCCACACTGAATGAGGTGGGTCAACTATCAAAATTGGAACATGGATTTGGGGCTGGGGTTGTGGCTCAGTAGCAGAGCGCTCGCCTAGTACGGGTGAGGGACTGGTCTCTATCCTCAGCACCACATAAAAATAAATTGATAAAAATAAAGGCATTGTGTCCACTTACAACTAAATTTTTTTTAAAAAAGGGAACATGGATAGTAGTCTGGATAACAGTATTACCAATGTAAAACTGTGATGTTGAGAATGATACCATGGTTATGGAAGAAAACATCCCTATTCTTAAGAAAGCACTCTAAAGTATTTTGGGATTAGAATCATGTTTAGGTCATTTACTCTCAATTTGTTCAGGAAACTCTCCTCCCCTCCCACACTCCCCCCCACCACCAAAACACACACACATCATAATACTCAGAAGTGTTCTGGGAATGATAAAGCAAACTGGGGTAAAGTGTTAACTACAGGTGACTCTGTTGTTCACCTGTTGTACTATTCACCTTTTATGCTGTTTTTATTTTTGCACTTTAAAAAACTTGAAATTATTTCCAAATGAAAAACAAAGCATTTGTCAACATAAGCAAAATATTCAAAAAAATATTGTAGGAACTACTCAGAAAATATTCCTAACAGTGCTTACTTTCAAGAAGATATTTTGCCACATTTACCAAACCATATATTCATTTTTTAAGGTGTAGATGGACACAATATCTTTATTTTGTTTGTTTGTTTGTTTTTACGTTGTGCTGGGGAATGAACCCAGTGCCTCACCCATGATAGGCAAGCACTCTACCACTGAGCCACAACCCTGGCCCCTTCATTCTTTAAAAAACATTTTCCACACAAAACAAGCTGCACAAACGTACCTTATAACTTTGCAGTCTTTGCAAGTCAAATGAAGCTGAAATATATCTCGGCATTCAACGCTTTCTATAAGCTGTAATGGAACCTGTAATTTAAAAAGATGAAGTCCCTTAGTCAAAAAGGTTCTTCAATGTGCCCAGCAAGACTGATTAGAAAGATCTCCAGTGGGAAGAAGCAAAAAAACCCTATAAATTTAGCAGAATTAATAGTACCCAAGTGATCAACTACAAAGTGAATTAGGGCTTTCCTTATTCTACATAAATAGCCTCAAGCCATGTCATGGCAAGGGGAGGAACAAAGGGGAGGAACCACCTCTGGAAAAACAGTGTAATTATGTCACTTGAACATCAAACTCACAAGCTCATCTCTCAAAGTACTACTTCTACAGTTTGTTGCTGCCTATGATTTGCAATGACACAGAAACTGAAGGGTACTGGAGTAATAGCCCAGTCTTGCTTATAATAAAGAATCACAGAACACAGTGCAAGTGAGACTCTATTGGAATATTGACAAATGGAGTGGGCTTATGGCTCAGTGGCAGAAAGGAGGCTTGTGAAAAAGCTGGAAGTCTGAACTGCCTGTAGGTTGAAAAGAAGAGAGGACAGGACAGTAGCTCCTGGTCCAGCTCTCAGCTCAGCAGGATAGACCCACAGGAATCAGAAGGAAGGGAGAAGGTCACACAGTGGTCAAGACAGTAGGTACAACTTGCTTCAAAAGACCAGTTGAAGAACCCTGTTTGCCAAGTAGGGCTTGAGAGATCTGAGCAGGCTGTAATGGTTCTTCCCCTGAAGATCTGATCAACAGAGTGTACTTGAACACAGGTGTTGTGAGAAACTGCAGCCGATGTGGCTAAAATTCTTTCAAGACCTGTACATCTAAGAAGGAAAAGAAATCAAAAATGTCAGTAGAGATAAATTATAAAGAAGGAACATGGAGATTAGAAGATACAGATTAGAAGATGATACTGATTTGTTCTCAGGCCAGTCCTTTTGGTGCCCTGTAATAGACTCTCATCACTTTATTTATTGATTAAATGTACTCCAACTATACATTTAGATACTGATGGCTTAAAAAGTGTACATCTGACACTCAAGACCAATTTGTTGGATTCTCATTCCACCTTGCCCACTCACCCCCAACCCCACTCCCGCCCCCACCCCCACAAAAAGTGGCTAGCTGACAGGCAAATGAGAAGCCTGAATTCTAGGCTTGTTTTTCTAAAATTTTACCAATTAAAAATTTGCCTGCTTCCTGGCTTCCTTGAATGAACCTCCAGACCCCTTATATGCCACCAGCCTCTGCTTTCTAAAATTTCAGATGGTCACAATTTACTAGGTCTCATGTACAAGACCTGGGGTGAAGTGATAGTTTTAAAAATCGACACGGAGAGGCTGCTCTCCCAGAAGTCACCTGCATCCCAGGTCCTCTTCAATTGCCTTTCCTTATAGCTAGAAAAGGTAAAAAACACTTATGCTATTAGCTGTTGGGAGAATGTTCTCAGCCTGTGCTACATTATTACAAACAATAGACAAGTTTTACATTTCTACTATTGGACCAGAGCCCAAGGGCCTGAGTCCAAACTCCCAGAATAAGAATTAAAACCCCCCAGAGCATGCAAAATATCTGCTACCTAAAGTGCATTCAATAAAATTTGTATGAATCTTAACATTGCAGTTGTAAAGAATAATAATAAAAATGTTGGTTCTATGTTTCAAATCAGATTAGAGATACTAGACAAGACACCAAAACCAACAATGTGTTCTCAAGTCAGATATACAGAAAAGCGGATTTTAATACTCATGCAAACTAACACATGCAGGGGAGTTTAATATGTAGCAAGAACAAGGACATTTAAAAGAGAAACACCTAATTTTGTATCAATAAATGCTTCTTTTTTTCACTTCTCTGTTTATCCTCTCTGATTTGTCCTCTCTTCCTCCTAAAAAGGCAGAATTTGTCACCTTTTCCTCTTTGACATTCAACTATACTGTTTTTTCTACTTTAAGACCTACCACATGGCTCTAGTTTTCTTAACATTTCTCACCTATGGAAAGGATCTCTTGCCATTTCTATGACTAAACATATGCACTACTCAACCTCATAAACAAAGAATCAAATTTTCAAGCCCAGTCTATTTCCTAGCCCAGGTTGGTTGAAATATACTATAAGCAAGCAGCAAAGTCTGGGTTAGAATTCCACGCTGCCTTTTAACCCAGGTTCCTTCGACCACATATGGTGTGACTTTCTTTCTTCCCCTAAGACTGACTGCCCTTCTGTTTAATACGAGATTTCCTTCACTTTACTTCCAAAAACAAAAATTTGGTTTCTCCACCAGGGATCATCAGGAGAAAAACAGAATTTAAAACAAAGATTCCTCAGAGGCAATTCCATCTGCAAAGGAAATAGAAAATCACTTTCAAACCTTCTCCAGACCAATGATTCGATGTTTCAAACAACTCATTTTCTTTTTGCTTCTTTCTCTTCCATCTTCTACTTGTCAGGTAATTCTATCTTTTTATACTGCATTTGGTCTAACAAATTACACCAAACTCATGCTCAAACAATGCATAAAACACTTGGTACTGTTAATCAAATCCTCAAAAGGCCCAAAGTTACACTTTACAGGCACCAAAATCCAAGAGCATCAATCCACAAAAGCAAAAAAGAAGCAATTTAAAAATTTAATAGACATACATAGGTATTAAAGACCCACAGTACTGTCATATTCATGAGGGATCTGACATCATCATACTCTAGTTTAACTCTTGAATTCATTCTTTGTGTGTGTGTGTATGTGTGTATGGCATGCATGTGTATTATTTTCAAGCACCAGGATTTAGAAGTGGAATAATTTCTACCTTTTTAAAAACAAGCACTCTTTTCATAATCTGAATGAGAAGTATTAATTTGTACATATGAAGTAAAACTGACAATAACACAGTAAAAATAATAATTCTAATGATAAAATATAAAATAAAATGGAATATCTAGGCACCCAATCTAATCAGAGGAGGAAAAATACATATATGCAAGCTATCTCCTTCCAGCCCTCATTTCAGATGCCTCAACTATTATATGAATGCTAAGCCAAAATATACTTAAGTATTAACAATAACCTCCTCCTGGTAATATGGGGAATGAAGGTGATTGTTGAAGGAAAATGCAAAGAAGTGCAAAGAAAAGGTGTTCTAAACTACTATACTTTCACACTTTTCCTAACAGGCATTGACAGATCGACTTGAAAAATGGAAGTTTAATGTCCTCTTAAATACAAATGTTGATTTTACAAATTATTTCTGGCTAAAACTCAGATTACATTTCCATCACTTACGTATAAACTGAGGACCTTAATCTTCACCCCACAATCTGTTCTCATCAAAGCATACCACTAGAACAGGGAAGCAAATCATGCAGAGAATACACATTTTGCTGATTTGCAAAGTGTACATCTGACACTCAAAACCAATTTGTTCCAAGCACAGGTACAGTAAAACCTAGGATTCTCATGCTACTTACTGGGATTTCAGAAGCAGCACATTGAGAAGCAGTCTATTGAATTATACAACAAAATTTTTTTAAACTTTCATAAATTCCACTTGAACATTTCTCTGTTTATATATTATCTAAGTTTCAAAGAAATATACCTGCATATATGTAAAAATATAGTTTTGGAAAAAAACTAAGAATGGAAGCAATTCATACCTTAAATGTTACAAACGAACTCTATTACAGAGATTGTTTACCCTAGGAATTGGAACCTTGATATTTAGTGAATATGTGTAGATTAAGGTAATGATGTTCATGGTATCTAAATATACTGACACATTTTACTCAATGTGCTGTGAAATTACAAAAGAATACATGATACCAGGTAGCTTTTTTAAACTTGATGGCAAGTCATTTTCTAAAGTGCTAAATGATGTAAAGTGGGGCATGCTACAACACAGAAAGGCACATTTAGATACTGATGGCTTAAAGATTATTACATCCAAATCAAACATATTTAACAGGGGTTTCTTGATCTCCTATATTTTACTAAAGTATTTATTTGCTGAGGAAAGGACAAAGGGAGGGAGATGAGAAACAACACTATCAATAACCCTCTGATCTCCACCCACGTCTGATGCAGGAGAAGTCATTATTTCCTGGAATAACTTGAGGTTCCAAAAATCTAATGCTATGATGAGATTAACATATTAGTATGGAGAAAGGCTGATCTATCTAAATAGGAAGTGTTTATAGACACTACAATGTCAAAATATTTTTGCACAACCATCTTTTTGTGCAAAGCCATTATTTTGGGCTTTTAAGTGGCATGTAGGCTCTAAGCCTTAGAATTATAATGCTAGAGAAAACATGTATATGAGGAATTGGGTCCAAAAGTAAGAGCAGTGGTAAGTTTCCTTAAGCATAATACTTCATCTGTAAAAGGGACCCACAATTCCAGTAAACAACCTACACATAGAGCTACTATTTGAGACAAAAACCACACATACACACAAAATATACAGGCCTATTCCCATAGCAATACATTGTTTTAAAATGAACTATAAATTCAAAAAGGGGAAAAAATTGCTCAATGTCTATTTCAAATTCATAGTAACTTCAATTAACTTAATATCTATTAGATAGCAAAACATCAGGAAACAAGCTGGATCCTGGAGATACAAAGATGAAAACCAAAAAATTACAATATGCCTAGTAAATATTGTAAAGATATGTTCAAGATAAAGAAGAGGCCACATGACTATAATTAACTGTCAGGAAAGGAATGAGGACTGAGCAAGGCTTTTTAGAGGAAGTTATCACCTGAAGTGGGTTTTGAGAGGTGAAGAGAAGTTTGCTGAGCAGGAAACAAGGGAGAGATAAGAAGTAACACTGAAGAGAAATATGAGGTATGACTGACCAGTCCAGGGAGGCTGGTTTTACTAGTACAAAAGGTGAGAAGAGGGAAGAAGAACATAGAAAAGCTAGCAGGGACTCAAAGATCACTGTCTTACATCATGCAAAGTAATTTGATTTTCATCTTAGAAACAGAAAAGAAACACTGAAGGGCTTTAAGATAGTGAATGGCAAGACTCTCCAACCAACCATTCCCAAAATAGATCTAAAACCAGTTAAAACCCAAAATGCTGATAATACAGTACGGCATGGGAAAATGCAATGACATGAAACTCTATCATTTTCACATGCAATTTACTTTTACTGAAATAACTTCATTGATTCTATCCATTTAAAACACTGAAAGAAAACAAAACTAAATTGTGTAGTTCTATTAATTATTACTTCCATAGTAGATGACGGGAAATTTTTGATGGCTGAAATTTTAGAATTTCCACCTTTTCTTTTCCATCATACACTCAAATCCAAATGGACCCTCCTGATCATAATGCTATATGGTATGGATGATAAGTATTGCCTCATTCCTTGATGAATTTGACACATACTTTTAACTGATGGACAGAAAATTGATGTAACAGCTAAGATTGTAGCCCAAATCTAGAATCCAGAGGAATTCAGGTCAAAAGGGCTCCTGGACATAAATGCTTAACTGCCGCAGTCTGGCTGGGCACAAATGCCCCAGTCTGGCTGGGCACACAATCACTCTTTATTCCCGAACTCACACCAGCCGTCTACAAACACGTTCTGGGGAAATCCACGTTCTCTCTCAAATCCACCTCCACTGGGTTTCTGTCTCCCAAAAATATACTGTCTGAATCCCGTGAGAACTCAAGGGGAACTCAGGCAGCAGGATATGCCCTATTCCCAGCAGGAATAATCTTAAACCTTAAACCTGGAACCTAAACCGGGAACGCCCTAATCCGCCTTGGTCCTTGAGCAAGGTCACCTACATTCAATGTCACTGCAACATGGGGTATGCTGGCAAGGAAACTGTCATACCTACTTACTTGGCTAATGGCTCCCAGCACTTAACTACATCTGATTAATTAAACAACAAGCAATGTGGCTTAAGGACCGTGCCTGGTAGGTTGTCCAATGCTTAACTACAAAAAGAGATTAGATTAGATTAAATTAGATAACACATACTAAGAAAATGGCAGCCACTGACTCATGGTAAATCAAAGAGGATTTGGGTAACTTTTGGACTGGTGAGTAAAATGAATAAAAGTGACAGATCTCAAAGAACCACAAAATGAAAACCAAAACACAATCTGAATGGGATATAATACTGACCTCTTATTAGGTGTTATAATATATTTCTCTGCGCTAGCACTGACATGCAGAAAACCACAATACTAGCAAATGAAGAATGCATTTGTTTTGTGCAAGTACAACTTTTGTGCCTCTGTGGGTTTCATTTAAATCTACTAAATGACAGCAGTACACTGAAAGATCCAGTTCACTGAAAAGACCCTCATAATTGAAAAAGGGTAAGTATACCCTTAAGAATTCCTTTTCTTCGGTAATATAGGTAATATATGGTCCATTATGCAAATAAACATTGCACTTAACATCTATACTTATACCACTTAGGAGCCATTAGAGTAACTTCATCCTATAATGAGTCTGCAGTGAGCTCAAAGCACATATCATCTGACATTAAGGCCCAGGAAGTAGTTGGTAACTACTAACAATTGAGGAATAAAAGCTTATTCAGACTCTGTACTTTTATAAAGCTTAACATAAGGCATTACTTAGTGCAAATTATTCAGTTTTAACTAAACATTGAACACCTTAGCTGACAATTAAATACATCATTTTAAATAAGGCATAAGAATTGCTGACTAACTAAATGTCCTTCAAGTGCAAAACAGAGAAAAGCAGAGCACACAATGCTTGCACACACCCAAATCCTGTATGTCTCTGAGTACACTACAAAGTTTTTTCAACTTAAACTTTCTATGTCTGCCTTAGAGATAGTAGTTAGTAATCACTTACATTAACAAGAGACTCCTTGAACTTGATGTGAAGTCTATAATTTGAAAGGGCAATGATGGCATCCTCAGCACGACCCACATACTCTGTGCTCTCTCCATGAAGTTCAAGGAAAGGAACCTTCAAAATGAAGAAACTCTTCAGAGTTCTGAAGCAATTAAGGCCAAGTCTTTAAACAAAGGTCGGGTGAATAGATAGTGCATCCTCTTTAAATGGACAGTCATCCAGGTTTAAAGTACAGTACATAAGTCAAGAGGATGAGATTATACCCACCTAATTCAAATGTAATTATTCAAATCCTGGACTCCTAAAGGAAGGATACTCTAAGAACATAAGTCTTGCTACAATGGTTTCCAGCTTGCATTTCTATAGGTATGGCTTAAAAAAAATATATGTTTATAAGTCCATCCCTTTAATCCATTAGCTCTGCTACATCATTACTATGATGCTAAATACATATTACAATCCAAAGTGGCCTATGATTACCTGAAGATTCTCATCCTCCCGAATCAGCTGCTTCCTAGGAAAGATCTGATTGGCCTGGATGCACTCAAGACTGTGCCGAGTCTCTTCATCCTGAAAAAAAAAAAAAAAATTAAAATAAATAACTTCAAAAACTTCTAGTTATCTATATTTAGTTTTTCTGCCATGTCTTCTCACATAATCACAGTAAGAGCCCAATGACCAAGGCAAATAGGCAGAAAAATGCAGGAAAAAATATTAATTCCCCAAACTGTTCCATCAACATATTAACTGCTACTATGGTTTGGATAAGTGTCCTCCAAAGGTCCATATGTTAAAGGGCTGGCCACCAGTCTGTGGTGCTACTGGGAGGTGGTGGTACCTTTAAAAGGTGGGGCCTAGTGAGAGGAAGTTGTGACACAGTGGGATCTGCCACTGAAGGAGATATTGGGACTCCAGCCTTTGTGTCACCTTTGATTTTTATGTGAAATTTTCATCAATCGAATCTTGAAAGAATATTTAAGAAAAAGTAACAACTAAATTTCTCAAATTTGAAACATGTATAAATACCAGCCCTAAATTAATCTGCCTTATATTCCCAAATAAATCTATTTCTGTTAAGGAAATTTAAAAGAGAACAAAAACTTCTCATCTAAATTGCACTACAATTTAATTCACATTTTAAAAAGTAATGTTACAGGAAGACCCAAAAGAAATGTAATGTGTTAGAAAGCCTGACTCAAAATGATAGTGAAATCTGTTTACACAGATTTTTGAGGAGAGAGGGGAGCAGTGTTGGGAGTTGAACCCAGGAATTGATACATACATACATACATACATTTTTTTAACACAACCATTTTTAAAACAGCAAAAACCATATCATGTTCAACTTATAACCACTACTTACTGAACATTTAGCACATGCTACTTATCACAATGTTATAAATCTCCTCTGGGTGGGGGAGGGGGCGTATAAACAATACTTAGGATTAGAGTTGCTGTTAAATAAAACCATAAGATTACACTACTTTTATCAGTGTGGTTCTTCAAGTGAAGTCTGCAGATTCTATGAGGTCAAAACCACCTTTACAATAATATTAAGGCATTATCTGCCTTTTTCCTACTGTGTTGACACTTGTTCCAATACTGTAAAAAGAATAAGAAGGGTAAACTGAGCACCTTAGCACAATCAAGGCAGACATACCAATTTAACTAAAAATGACCTTGGAAAAGGCAGGAGAAAATTATACTGAAATATTATGGTTGCTTCAAGGAAAAATATCTATGTGACTTTCAATTAACAATGAACTAGCCATTTTTTATGCACAATTTTTAATTGAAAGAATAACTGATGGACAAATTGTGGAAATTAAGACTTGGCCATATGGCAGATCTTTTTTTCCAAATGACAATATATTTTTTATGCAAAAATTACAATACTGGAAAACCTGTCATCTGCCACCATGAATTTGATAGCTTTCCAATATTCAAAAATTTTGTGATAAAATCAGTGTGATATATCAAATATGATGTTTTAAAAATTCACTATATGTCAACAGTTGAAAAGACCTGCATTGCATAATGAACCTATTATTTTCCTAATGACCAATGTATGATATTTTAAATCATGCATGGATAAAAGTGCAAGATAAGGGCTGGAGTTCAGGGGTAAAGTGCTTGCCTAGCACACACAATGCCCAGGTTTTGATCCCCAGAACCACACACCTGCCAAAAAATTACAAGACAGATCAAAAACGGTTAAAATAGAACAAAGAGGTTCACTTATAGTTTTAGATTCACACTGCAACTAAATTAAGGAACTACCACTTGTCAAGTTTTGGTGTAGTATTAAAAGAAAATACACGTGATTATCTAAAACACTTTTAAAATACTCTTCGCTTTTCTAACTACCTATTTATGTATGGCTGAATTTTCCTCACATTTGAAATAAAACATATTTTAATAGATCGAATGTGAGAGTAGATATGAGAATGTGTCATCTATTAAACCAAGCATTAAAGAGATCAGAAAATTTACACAATTTTTGGACAAGAAGTTATTTTTAATTAAAAATACTTATATTGCCATGTAATTTCTTACTTTTAAATGAATTTATAAGCATTTGAGAGATTTCTCAGCTTTAATTTCTATTACAGTAAACACAGCAAACATAACCCACATAAACAAGCCCTCTTGGGAGTCCTTAATAATTTATCAATGTAAAAAGAGATGCTGAGACCAAAGGGTTTCAGAACTTCTATTCCAGACTGCACTCTAATACTAAGTAACAATTAAAGCTGTATAATTTGAAAAGCCAAACTTGTCCCAAAACTATTCTCCTATTGTTAATCCATGACAGAAAAAGCCACTCAGAATTTAACAATGACCTCAACCATCATTCTAGCAATCTTTGCTACAAAATGACTAAACCATTTTATTTTGAGACATGAGCTTTTTAAGGGCCTTTAAAAAAGATTGATATTTAAAATTTTTAAATAGCTTCAAATTATAAAAATATAATTTTACAAATGGTTTATAAAATGCTATGAAAAATTATGAAACTTTCATTAAATACACTTTTATTATTATTATAAAAAAAATATTTCCCTAGGATTACAAGCATCCCAGGATAATTGTTAAGAAACTGTAGCTGATAATCAAATAATTTTAAAAGCAAAATTATAAAAAAAAGAAAACAACTTTTGTTTCTTATGTAGCCAAAATAAAAATGTTTAATGAGGGCTGGGGTTGTAGCTTGATGGTAACGTGCTTGCCTAGTATATGTGAGGCACTGGGTTCCATTCTCAGCATCACATATAAAAAAATAAATGAATAAAGGTCCATCAATAACTAATAAATTTTTTAAAAAAATAATTAAGTGATGCACTTTAATAAGGCTGATATGACAGAGCTTAGTGGTATCGGAAAGAGTAATTACCTAAAGTGTACTAAAGTCTGTAAATGACTCCACTCCTATAAACACCAAAATAACTTGTTAAATGAAAAATGTTGAATTATGTCCCATCTGATTCAAATGTATGATATGTCAAGGTCATTGTACTGTCATGTGTAACTAATTAAAACAAATAAAAAAAATAATACAAAAAAAGAAAAATGTTGTGTTGATCTGTACTATATTATGCCTTTCCACTCATTTCGTTTGAAGTCAATTAATGAGTGAAAGAACAGGGGGAAGTGATTTTTTTAAAAAAGAACCCACTTTTCTACCATAAGTACTGGTTTTAAAAAAAATCCTACTTTCATTATGAAAGGTATCTCTTGACGTAAAGAAGGCTTAATGTTTACACTTAAAGGGAATAAAAGGAAAAGAGAGAGAAAATCCCGAATCAAGAAAAAATGTTCTCATGAACCAACAGGGAATAGGTAGGAAATGCTATAAAAGAGGGAGAGGGGACAGCTTTTAAAAAGTCTTACCTGAAAGTACACTTTAAACATACCTTCTCAGCATCACATTAACTAGCTTTTTAACTCACATAAATGTATAAGGCCTAAACTTTTACTGTCTTTAAGATCATTTTACAGAGGCACTCATTATTTCTTTATGTGATTCCTTGACCCAGTTTTCCACTGACCCTCAAAACAGCTCAGAATTGAAATAATGTAGCAGGCTTTTTAAGAAAAAGAAAAGGAAAAAGGAAAAAAAAAAAAAAAAGGAAAGAGAAGCCATTTACCTATTCATTCTTGCTAGCACACTCACTTTGGTGCTAATCCAGACTAATGTACCTAACCAAAGTAGCTACTGAACACTGAAAGAAAATTGCTTTCAACATATGAGAACTGACAATTAAGCCAGCAAGACAAGAACATGAAGTACTTATTTTCATTTAAATCAAATAAATGCTCTTTTTAAAAAATACTGCCTCAGCTCATATTACCTATAAGGCTTCAGAAAAATGTCCCCCTGGGTTGGGGTTGTAGCTCAGTGGTAGAGTACTTGCCTGGCAAGTGTGAGGCACTGAGTTCAGATTCTCAGCACCACATATAAATAAATGAATAAAATAAAGCTCCATCAACCTCTAAAAAAATATTTTAAAAAAGAAAGAAAAATGGGGCTTTACACAGAACTGCATTTAACCTCAAAGATTTAATTAACATTAGGACCAACTAACTAACTGCCTAATTTTATTATAGTCTCTGTGATTTTACAGGTATAAAAAGAAACCCAACTTGACACAGTTAATAGGGACGGAAACTGGGAAGAGGCAGAACTGGAAAGTAGTGGTGTGATAAAAAGCTGGGAACAGATTTTGCTTAGGATATATGCACTTATTCATTAGTATTAAAAAATGCATTCCACATTGTTGATTTCCTGGTATTACTCAGGAATGCCAGGTGATGTAGAATCTGGTATTTCTTTGGCTCCACCTAGCTCTGTAAAGTTAGCAGGGTCACTTGCAAAATCCAGAAAAGGGATCAGTCAACCACAGTTTCAGGTTGGTTTCTGCTACTGGCTAAATTATGCAGGTAAGAAAGTTAAGTACATACTTCAGAGGAGAAGTCAACATTAAATATAAATATTTAAAGCACATAAGAGAAGACTGCTGACCAATTAAGTCCTATGAACTAAATCTATATATATAGTGTTCATGTTCAAAAAACGTAAAAGTAATCACTGGTCTTCTTACTGTCAGTATTGTCCATACACTATTCTTGGGGCTAGTATTTATAGTCATTGAAAATATATTTCCCTTGCTACAGTCCTTGAAATTCGGTCAAATCAATTCAAAGGGCTAGGAAGCACAGAGTAGGAATCAGATAAAACAAGTAGCCATAAACTGATAGTTACTGCAACTGATATATATGAGAGTTCACTACAAATTCTTTCCTCATATAGTCTATGCTTAAGATTTTTCCATACTGAAAATAAAAACATCTTTTCATAATGCCTGGTCTCTCAAAGAGACTTAAATATCATTTTAGATCTTTTAAGATTATAAGAGGTAGGAGAGGCTGTTACCTTCAGATTACTACAGAAATACACATCAAAAACAAAGTTCAATGCTCCTTTCTTACAAAAAACTAAGGATTAAGGACATATAATCTGAATGTTAAAACAATATGGTATATTAAATATATACCATATGAGTGGATCAAAGGCTGAATAACTTGCAAGATATTATGTAGCTAGTAAAACGATCTTTAGGAATCCAAGAAATCAACATGGGAAAACGTTTAATGCACTGAATGAAATGAGCAAAAGATTTCATTATGTTATTGTAACTATATATGTAGATATATGAATGACAAGGACTACTTAGGAAAACACAACCATAAGTTCTGGTGGTAGAATTACAAATGAGAATTAAAAAAAAAAATGTGTTATAATGTTTTATGTGGGGGGCAGGACGCACCACAGTCAAGCTGTTCCCCAATTATCACACATAGAGGTGTCTCCAGAACATTTCTGCAGCATAGGGGCAGGAAGTACACAAGGAAGATAGTTGGGCACCAAAGAGATCCCAGCAGCACCAAGAAGAGGGCCATGCTATTTGTTTCTAGCTATGTGGTATAAGATGAAGGACAAAGTCTCCATAGAGAACAGATCTGCTTTCATAAGCCCATAATTTGATAAACATTAGCATTGGCATAGCATACCATATAAATACAAGGCAAGCACTTTTTAAATTCATTGAAAACTGAGACCCAGCACCACACAAAAAAACAAAAAACAAACAAACAAAAAAAACCCCTGAGACAGGTAGTAAAATAAAGTGTAGCCTAGAGAATTAACAGTAATGTTAACATTAATGTTAATGTTTGGGTACAAGAAATTAGAAAGTTGTAATGCCCACAAACTAAGAAAAAAAGAGTCTACCTTTAAGAAGAGAACAGTTACCTTTCTCCTCTTTTTCATATGACATTTCTGCACAACTACCTTTTTTGTTTTGTTTTACTATGTTTTTAATTTTAAAAGCATTTTCCATACACATCCCTAATGAAGCTTGAAATTAACATGGTCTTTTCAATTCCTTTTTTGTGCACCAGCATGAAACAGTTTGGATCTAGGAAACACCATAAGGTAGAAACAGGACAATATTACAGAGAATCATTTTTCTCTTAAGATCTGAAGTGCTGTTTATATGTCCTCGATTAATAAAAATGTAGTTGGCTTGTTGCTCCATCTTCTCTGCCTTCCCTGGACCCTAAATGGTCCAGAAATCACTGAACTGTACATGATATGTTCTTTTCAGTCAAAGATTCAAGTAGGGGAATGCAGATCTGCTGCCCTACTACCGAACCAAAATACTGCTTTGAAGAGACATAGATAGGCTGGGGATGTAACCCAGTGGTTGAGCACTTGCCTAGCATGTGCTAAGCCCCGGGTCCAATATCTAGTACTGAAGGGCAAGAAAGGAGGGTGAGGGGAAAGAGAGCAAGACTCATAGGAAATATAGGGAATTGCTTTGTGAGGTAACGCATGTTAACTAGCTCAATGTAGCCATTCCATAATGTATACACACTTCAAAGAACATTGCACACAATATACATAATTTTGTCAATTAAAAAAAGTAAAGACTATTCAGATGAAAAAATCATTGTCACTATATCCTACTTCCTAGAAATTTCTTTTTCTCTCTTTTCCTTTTTCTTCTTTTGGTACTGAGGATTGAGCCCAGAGCCTTGGGTTACTACTGAGCTATACTCCAGGCCAGTTTCCTAGAAAAGGAATGAAAAACCTAGAGCCCAGGAACCATATGCTATTCTTTGGTTCCATTCACTAGCTGATTTAAAATGAGACTTAGTGTCCAGGTCACAGAATTCAAGTTAAGAGAAATGAAACTGCTCCATATACTGGAGTACCCTATCATTACTAATAATAAAAGAAGAGAGATTCTAGGAGAAAGAAAAATGATTTCTAACAAAAACAGAAATGGGTAAGTATGGAATAATGTTCGGCTGAATTGTCAGAATTGAGTTCAACTCCAATTTTCTTATTTCCTTATACTTACCATGACAGGAGGCCCAGATTAGGAGGAGAGATCCCCGTCCCTTCTTCAGTGTCTGGCAAAGCTCTTCTTTCTCTTATGCTGAGATCTTTTATTTAAGAGAAAGAGAAAATGTTTGTATGGATCTTCTGTCTATGGGAAGCAAACATATTTAGCAAGCAAAATATGAACAACCTGTTTGTTATTCCAATATTCTATATTCACCTGTGCTAATACTTCCTATCTATCTATCTATCTATTTATTTATTTTTGGAGGTACCAGGAATTGAGCCCAGACTGTTCTCTCACCAAGCTATACTGTCACCCCTTTTTATTTGTTGAGATGGGGCCTTGCCAAGTTGCCCAAGCTGGCCTCAAATTTGTAATCCTGGCTTTTGGGGAGGCTGAAGTGTGAGGATCTCTCGTGTACTACAGTGCCCAGCTCCTTTTACCTGTTTTGTTAAGAACAAAAAGGAGAAAGGGGAAGAATACCCTACTAGAAATGCAAAGATAGGCTATTAAAGTAGTATCTTTAGTAAGTTGCTCTTTTCTTTGAATAGATTAGTCTCATGTAATTCTGATTTGCTAAAGTTCAAAAAACAGAGGCTATCCTGGTTAACATTCAATATAAACCATATAAGACAGTGTAAATGACAAAACAGAGGACAGTGTAAATGACAGAACAGGGGACATCAAAGAAGTAGCAGGGTCCATATCATATAACGGTTTTGGGGTATTGTGAGCAAGAAGAGCATCAAATGATTTACTTTCAAGGATTATGCTGGCTAATGAATGTAGATAGGGAATAGTTTAGACTATTGGGAATGAGAAAGAAACAAAGGAAGAAACAGTTGGAAGGTAACTGCAATGATCCAGCCAAGAGACAAGGTAATAGTAATGGAAATGGTGGGATGTTGCTAGATTCTGGATATACTTTGCAAGTATCAACTTCAGGATTTGAGCTCATGAATTAAATGTAAATAAAAAGGAAGTCAATTTTTTTTTGCCCCAGCAACTGAAAGCAAGGATTTACTGATGGGGAACGTCCATGCAAAGACGGGAGTGAAGAAACAAAGGAGAATTGTAAGTTCTATTTCAGACGTATTACATTTGAGATGCCCATCAAATATCCAGTTGAAAATGCCAAGTAAAGTGCTAGATAAACCAGACTAGAGATCTAAAAGATGGAAGTCAGAAATATTAATATAAATGTGGGAGACATTAGTGTGTGAACAGGATTTAAGCTGTATAAGTATAAAGAGAGGCCATGAAGATCAAGGACAAGAGCTTGATATAATCCATTGTTTACAGAAAAGACCACAGGGTTCAGTAATAAGCCAAGTCACAGTCATCATTCTTGACATTCCTTCAAACCCACACCAAATCTTTGTGATTTGATAATGACCCAAATTGGCATAAGATTATTTCCTTTGTTCACTCCAATAAATATACTCAATACCTACTATATTCCAGGCATTGCTAGGCTTTAGAAAGACAATTGTGCATAAAAAGTCAAGAAGCGGTCTTCCTCAAGAGAAACAGAATCTAATGTTAAGTAGTTAGCTGATAAACGCTACAAAGAAAACAGAGTTAGGGGTAAGAAATAACAGAATATGGTACTTGAAATAGGAAGTAAAGATGTTGTAAGAGGGAAACTGTTAGAATTAAAAAGGAGAGAGGTATTATGCAGAGTGGCCTACACCTATAAACTCAGCAACTCAGGAAGTTGAGGTGGGAGGACTGCAAGTTTGAAATCAACCTCAGCAACTTAGTGAACCATAAAAGAAAAAAAAAAAAAAAACAATGAGCCAGATGTGGTTGTGCACGCCTGTAATCCCAGCACTGGGGAGGTTAAGGCAAGAGGATCGCAAATTCAAAACCAGCTTCAGCAAAAAAGCCAGGCACTAAGTAACTCAGTGAGACCCTGTCTCTAAATAAAATACAAAATAGGGCTGGGGATGTGGCTCTGTGGTCAAGTGCCCCTGAATTCAATCCCTGGTACCCCCACAAAAAATAATTATGAAATTCTATCATTTGCATTAATATGGATCAAACACAGGACATTACTTTAAGTGAAATAATTCTGACACAAAAAAGACAAATAATGCATATTCTCACCTACACGTAGACTCTAACAAGTTGATCTCCAAGAAACAGACAATAGAATAATGGCTAACAGAGCCCAAAAGGCTGGTGAGGGAGAGAGGAGAGAGGATGGTTAACAGGTATACAGAGGTAAAACTAGATAGGAGGAGGAATAACTTCTAATGCTCTATAGCACCATATGGTAATTGTGGTCAACAACAGTTGATTATATCAAAATAAAGGATTTAGAACACACAAAGTTCCCCCCCCACAAAGAAATGATTAATGTCTGAGGTGATAAATGTCAATAATAAGTCTGATCTGATCATTACATATTGCATACATGTACTGAAATATCACACTGTACAGACTATACTCCATAAATATGTTCAATCACTATGTGTCAATTTAAAAATACATATGTTAAAGACTGTTATAAAGAAACATTTTAAAGAATTGAAGTTCTGGACATCACAAAACCAAATTTATTGTTTATACAATAAACACCAATGTGCACTCTGTGTCTTTGTGTGTGTGTGTGTCGGGGGGGGGGGGGCGCGGTAATATAGATTGTACCCAGGCTAAGCAAGCACTCTATAATTAGGCTACATCCCTAGCCCCACCTACCCACCCAACCCCTTTTAATTTTTATTTTGAGACATGGTCTTGCTATGTTGCCTAAGCTAACCTTGAACTTGCAATCCTCCTGCCTCTACTTCCCAAGTGGCTGGGACTACAGGCTTGCACCACAACACCCAGCACATTTAGTGTCCTTTAAGGTTTATTTTTTCCCCAGAAAAAAATGCACAGAAAACTCATACAAGCATCACAGAGTAAGATGACCAGCTGAATTGTACTCATCTAGTGACAATTCACTAAAATTAAAATTCCAATTACAAAGTAAATTGTTACAAGAATTGTAATGAATTCTTCTGTCATACATAAATAAAATAAATAAAAAAGTAAACTGCTGATCAGCAGTTACATCATATACACATATGCTAACTTCACAGTTAAGGCTAAATTTTTAGTAAGCATGGAAATAATCACAATGAAGATCTGCCACTTAGCATTAAAAGACTAAATCAATTTAAAAAGTCTTCATCCAGAAGTGATGCCTTTGATTTCTGTACCAAATAAAGACTTTGAAAACAGCATACTACACTGCAGGAAGTCAAAAATTACCCAAGAACCTAGGTCAGATAGTTTGATATGTATTGGTTCTTACACTAATGCAGTTTTTGTTCTAATGACAGACAGAAAAAGATAATAATTACAAAGTGTGTTAAATGTGATGAAGGAAACAATTAGGATGCTGAGACAGAGAATGAATAAGAGGATGCAAGAGACTACATCAGAAAAGTTGGCTTGGATTGGGGGGGGGGGGTCAAACTTCTGGTATAGATAACAGCATAGTATTCCAGAAAGACTGACATATTTGAAGAACTAAAAGGAAGAAATCATTCTAGCTAAAATATATTGAATCAGAGTGAAAGTAGCCCAATTTAAAGTTGAAATGTATAAGGAAAAGATCATGTAAAGATTATATTCCAAGCACAACAGGATACCATTTACAGGTTTTAAACAGAAGAGTGACATGAAGATCATGCTGACTATTGTGTGGTGAATGGATTAAAAGACGGAAAGAATAAAGAAGACAATCGGGAACAATTACAGGAAGAAGATGGTGTTTTGATTTAGAAGAGTGGAAGTAGAGACAGAAGAAAGACAAAGATCTGAAAGGTATTTTGGAGTATAACAACATAACAAAGGTAAAAACATGGATGTAGGGGTTAAGGGAGAGTGGAGAATTTACAATTCAAGAGAGAAAATAAGTAGATAAAATAAAATCAGAAAATTGGAAGTGCTGCTTTAAGAATTTGAGAAAAATTTAAAATTGCCATAGGAATTCCAAATTCACAAGTAAAAGCCAAGATCATGGGTAAGTCTGCAACCAATCTGAATTAAAAAGTTTTTAAAGATTCCTTTTAAAGCTACAAAGAATAGTCATGAACAATCCTTAGGAAATATTCAAGGGTCATTGCAACACCTCACTTGCATAACTTGGGCCGCATTGTGGTAGTTACACTTTCACCACAAAAGAAATAAGTTGAATCATTACTGTTAGTCTGATAAGCAAATTCACATTGCTTAGGTCTAATAGTAATGGATGGTCCATGTAAGATATTTTAAAAATAGCTATAAAAGGTAAACAAATACCCTCTTATGATGCTGGTGGGAATATAAAATGGTGCAGCCTCTTTGGAAAATAGCCTCATATTTCCTCAAACAATAAAATAGATTTACCAATTGACCCAGCAATAGCATTCCTAGTATTTATCTGAGAAAACAAAAAAGTATGAACACATAAGAACTTATACATACATGTTCTCAGCAACATTACCGAAATAACCAAAAGGTGGAAACTATTTGTTCAACTATATGAACATTTGGATTAACAAAATGGTATCCAAACAATGGATTATTGTTCAGTCTTAGAAAGGAATGAAATATTGATAAACTTTGAACACATGATAAAAGAAGCCAAACAAAAAAGACTACATGCCATAGCAGGATTATGTTCACATAGAAACGTCTAGAACAAGGAAATTCTATAGAGATAGAAAACTAATTAGTATTTGCTTAGGGCTGGGAGAGATGGAAGGCAAGAGACCGTCTTGGGAATCAAACCCAGGGATTCTCTACCACTGAGCTAAATTCCCAGTGCTTTTCCATTTTTATTTTAAGACAAGGTCTCACTAAATTCCCAGACAGATCCCAAACTGGCAATCTTCCTGTCTCACCCTCACAAGTAGCTGGGAGTATAGAACCACACTCACCAGAATTATATTTTAATAACTGCTTCTTAAAAAAACAAGAAGTTTGGGGCTGGGGTTATGGTTCAGTGGTAAAGCGCTCACCTCACACGTGCGAGACCCTGGGTTCGATCCTCAGCACCACATAAGAATAAATAAGTGAAATAAAGGTACTGTGTACAACTACAAGTAAAAAATGAATATTAAAAAAAACAAGGCTGGGGATGTGGCTCAAGTGGTAGCCCGCTCGCCTAGCATGTGTGGGGCACTGGGTTCGATTCTCAGCACCACATAAAAATAAAATAAAGATATTGTGTCCACTTAAAACTAAAAAATAAATATTAAAAAAAGAAGTTCCCTTCTCCTTGTTGCCCCTCAGTTCACCCACACCTGTTTATAACTAGTTTTAACTACTCGATACTTTCATCCAGATAATTCTGTATGCATATAAAAAAATACAATCTATTCCAAAAAGGGGGATGGAGGGAGTGTCATTCTGTTCTCTAATTTCTTCCATTAATATAGCAAATCCTTCCTGCGTCAGTATGTGTTTTTTGATGGCAGCTCAGTATTCCATCATATCCTAATATGAAATAGAATAATCACATAAACTGATGAGATATTTAGGTTGTTTCCATCTTTTATTTTCCATCATATCCTAATATGAAATAGAATAATCACATAAACTGATGAGATATTTAGGTTGTTTCCATCTTTTATTTTCAAATATTTATTTTTTATTTGTAGTTGGACACAATACCTTTATTTCACTTATTTATTTTTATATGGTGCTGAGGATCGAACCCAGGGTCTTGCATATTCGAGGCGAGCGCTCTACCACTGAACCACAACCCCAGCCCCTCCCCATCTTTTCATTATCAACAAACGAGGCAAAACAACCATTCACAAGTAAATTCCAATCAAGTCACTATTTCTGTAGCCTTGATTCTTAAAAAAATAAATTTACTAGATGAAAAGATCTAAACTTTGTATGGAGAAGGATGCACAAGAGTTATTATTGCCAAAGACTGCATATACTTACTCTTCATCCACATAGTCAACAACTTGGTAGAAGTTTTAAGTCCTCTGTAATTTTAAAAGTTAAGAATAAGCAAAAACATCATCTGTATTCACCATGAAGCATGTTCATATGTATACAGGAAAATGATAAAAAGATTGTTAACAATGGTTATCCCTTTAGGAAATAGTAAGAACAGAGACTTAGGTTTCATACTTTTAAACATTTACGTTTATCATTAGGAAAACAAAATTTTCCTCTAAAGTTTTTAAAAAAGAAACTCAAAATAACTAGTTAATAAAAGGTTGTCATTTAACTGATGACAGAGTGTGAAGATAATGACCTCAAGAAAAAGCAATTAAGTATGTAAAGCAATGGCTCTGAGGGCAGGTAAGATACAAGTCCTGATTCTGCCATATACAGTTTGAGTACCCCTTATTCAAAATGTGTGGAACCACAAGTGTTTGAGATTTCAGAAATTTTCTGATTTTGGAGCATATCAAACTTCCAGATTAGGTCTGCTCAACCTGTTCTAACTCAATGACCTTGAAGGCAAGTCATGATACTTCTTTTACACATGAAGATACTGAAGTGCAAACGATAGAAATAAAAGCTACATCAAAGAGTTGTAAGGATCAAAGGATATGATATATATGATATGCTCAATATTAGTGCCATTTAATTATATGTACATTTAAAATTAATACTGTTTACACGCAATCCTATATATGAAATAGTTCTATCTAAAGATTGTACTTCATTAAATAAAATATTCCATTATAAAGCAAATTACATGGACAGGACAATTCCCAAGTATCTTTATCCACACATATTTGTATATGTGTACAGAGTTATTTTCTTTGACTCTTAAAGGGTTGCATATACTACCATGCTTATTTAATTCTTACTACTTTCAGTGTATATTTCTCAAAAGCAAAGAAAATCTTTTGTATAAACATAGCACTAGTTTTCAAATTCAGAAAACTTAACACTGACTGTAATCCACCACCTCTATTCTACTTTCTTTTAATATTTTATTTTTTAATTGTAGTTGGACACAATACCTTTATTTATTTTTACATGGTGCTGAGGATTGAACCCAGGGCCTTGCACGTGCTAGGCGAGTGCTCTGCCACTGAGCCACAATCCCAGCCCTCTATTCTACTTTCATCAATTTATCTAATTATATCTTTTATAGCAAATCTGCACATTCCTCCTGCCCCTGTAAAGGATCCATTCCAGAATCACATTGAATCCATTTGTCATATGTCTGGTCTCCTTTTATCTGAGGCACATATTAATTAATTAATTTATTTTGGAGGGAGTACCAGGGATTGAACTCAGGAACACACAACTGCTGAGCCACATTCCCAGCTCTATTTTGTATTATTTAGAGATAGGGTCTCTCTGAATTGCTTAGTGCCTTGCCATTTCTAAGGCTGGCTTTGAACTCAAAATCCTCCTGCCTCAGCCTCCCAAACTGCTGGGATTCTATAAATCCAAGCAACATTTCTGAAACCACCCATAGCATGGGCGGCCAAACCCAGCATTCATTGTTTTGTAAATGTCTTTGATGTTTTTCTGTAGATTGATTTTAAAGTTAAAAACAAATAAACATTTACATTATGATACTGTAAATATTAAACACTGAAAACCAACCAATATCTTAGAATTATATTTCTTTTTCTAAAAAGAAACCCTTTCTCTACAAAGCAACTCCTTTAAACAAATGAAGGACAAGATTTCTATCCCAAGCATCAAGTTCAAATTTCTCTTTGCTTAATATATGTATGTGAATTTGACAGTGGTGACTCACAGGCTTCTCTGAGTTCCAGCAACAGTACCCATTCCAGGATTCAATTAACAGAAATATTTATGAAACTGTTATTTCAAGCATTTTTGAAATATGTATTTATTTTTTAGTTATAGATGGACACAATATCTTTATTTTATTTCTATGTGGTGCTGGGGATCGAACCCAGTGCCTCACACATGGTAGGCAAGCGCTCTACCTCTGAGCCACAGCCCCAACCCCAATTTCAAGCATTTTTAAAGAAGAAATTACTCAATTCCTCACTTAAAAACAAAAATTCATACTTGCAAACAGTAACAATTCAACCAAATAAGATACTGAGCAACTTGGACTACAAAGACATTGATTATATACTATATAATCCTTGCAAAGAAAGAAACACAGTAAACTAAACCAAAGATTATGATACCCAATTTCTACTCAAACCAATCTATTCTCCTCCCTCCTTACCAAAATCAAAACCCTAATCAAGAGGGATTTAGAGTGAGAAGGCACTGGTATCCAGGACTTGGGTGAGTAGTATATAAACTGATAATGCAAACACAAAGTTAGTTCTTGCCTTTTGGCATTTGTAGTTCTGAGGAGCTGATAGATGTAACTAATAGAGTATGGGAAGAGATAAAGAAATATAATTCCATGGTAATGCAAAAGACAGAAAGATTCTGACCTGGGCATTCAAGGAGGTCTTTGTAGAAGACTTGAGCTTTTAATTATTGAACCAGCAAGATTTTTTTTTTTTTTTTTGTACCAGGGATTGCACTCAGCAACACTCAACCACTGAGTCCCATCCTCAGTCCTATTTTTTTTTAAAAGAGAGAGAGAGAGAGAGAGAGAGAGAGAGAGAGAATTTTTTAATATTTATTTTTCAGTTTAAGGTGGACACAACATCTTTATTTTATTTTTATATGGTGCTAAGGATCGAACCCAGCACCCCGAGCATGCCAGACAAGCACTTTACCGCTTGAGCCACATCCCCAGCCCCTATTTTGTATTTCACTGAGTTGCTTAGGGCCTCACTGTTGCTGGCTTTGAACTTGTGATTCTCCTGCCTCAGTCTCCCGAGCTGCTGGGATTACAGGCATGCGACAGGATGCCCAGCCAAACCAGCAAGATCTTGAACTATGAGACAAAGATTGAACAGAAATTGTACATATAGCAGAAAAAAAACAAAAATGAACACTGAACAGTATTAAAAAGACAGGAAGTAGGCAAGCGTGTTTATAACAAGAGTCAGCCGAGGTACACAGGGAACAGGTTATCAGCTATAGAAGATTTGTTCAAATCCATCTCTAAGAGCCCTACATGCCGTGCTAAGGAGTTGGATCCATGTTCTAGGGCAATGATAAGCCAAGACAATGGTTTGGATTTAATAACTTAAAAGCAAAGTACAACTTTTCAATGAAAGGGAATTATAATTCCCTAAATTAAACAGATTTATAAGGCTATAATAAAGATACAGTAAGGGACAGATACCGCCGGATTAATATCCACACTGGAGTAAGATCCAGAAAAATCTTTAGAACTTGTTTTTCTAATTAAACTTCACACTTGTACTACTACCTCTAGTATTCAGAGGCATTAATTATCATATAAATATATACCAATTTTAAGAAAATTCAAAGAATCAAGTTTTCAATTTTAAAACTCCAGATTGGTAAGGGCTGTTTATTTTAGAAGAAATACTGTGCTGCAACTCATTAACTCTCAATTTAAATACAAATTTCCAGGCACAGAACATTACCACAATTACATATGGAAAAAGTAACTCTCCCTGTATCCTAGTGAAGGAAAAATAAAATTAAAATTACACACACACACACACACACACACACCATATTTAAAGACATTAAAATGAACAGAAAACTTCATCTAAGTAATTATGGACAAGACAGACTCCCCACCACCACCATCATTCTGTAAATCATTTTTTCCTGCTTCAAATCAGCAGAGAGAGAATATTGCGGGGGGTATAACTTACCAAATGAAGTTTGTACTGAGAACTTTTTCTATCAGAAGGTTTCACAAGGAAATCTGCAAAAGAAACACATTTTATAATGACAAATATTTTAAGAATCAAGATAGATTTCACTGCCAGATTTTTCTGTACAAGGTAGAACATATGATGGATTTTTCTTGCTGCAATAAACACTGTTCAGAAAACACTCTTTATTGCAGCAAATAACCACAAATTTTATAATATTTAAATCACAGAATTAAGACCCAGCCAGGTCTTTGCATGCCTTCTACAACAGTAGAAATATACAAAAAAGAGCTTTCCAGGAACCTCCTATTTTAGGGATTTTCTTCAGTCAAGAAAGCATCATTTCTGACAGCTTGTCAGGGAAATCTCCGCAACTTAAACGAACAGGTACGTTAAAATCTAAGGTCACAGCTACTCTGGTTTGGACTTCTACTTAAAGTTTTTGGTACATATAATTGCCTTCTACCAATGAATCTTTTTTAAGAAAAAAGTAAGGGGCACAAAGAATTTGTTCTCTACTAGGCAACTATTCTGACCTTTACAGAAATAAAAGACCTAATTGACCTAATTCCTTTGTGATTATTTCTCTCAATATTTATAGACACAATTCTTTTGAGCTGATGGTTCAAGTGACATGAAGTCATATACGTGAAGAAGAATATAATGAATACTGAAACTCAGAATCAGAAAAATAACTATTTCATTAGAAAATGAGGGTGGAATTCAAGGAAGCTAGCCAGCTATGTACGCTATTCTAGTAACCTCCCAAGAAGATATACGTCCATCAGATAATTAGGGTTGTGGCCGGGTGTGATGGTGCACACCTGTAATCCCAGAGGCTTGGGAGGCTGAGAAAGGAGGATTGGGGGTTCAAAGCCAGCCTCAGCAAAAGCTAGGTGCTAAGCAACACAGTGAGACCCTGTCTCTAGGTAAAGTACAAAAAAGGGATGGGGATGTGACTAGTGGTCAAGTGCTCCTGAGTTCAATCCCCAGTACCCCCCCTCCAAAAAAAGATAATTGGGGTTGTGGGGTGGGATTAAATTCAACACAAAATCACTACATCTATTCTAAGAATTATCTGACATGTTTTAGAAATTACTTATTCTGTCAGAAATATGTTCATTAAGTGTTCATGTAAAATTTCCACAGGTGCCCATGAAATTCCAAGAAATGAACCAAATAAAAAGACAGATTCAACGAAAAGGCTGAGACAGGTAGGCTTCAATTACAGCAAAGAATCATCTTCTTCCCAATAACCAAAATCAAACATCTTCTTGACTGGAAATAAGCATATAACTGTGAAACACCACCAGCAAAATACATTGCCCATGTCTCTAAGGACTATTTGTCACATAAGGGCCATGAGTCTAAAAGAAGCTCGGCGGGAGACAAGCGTGAGGCACTGGGTTTGATCCCCAGTACCACATAAAAATAAACAAATAAAGTAAAGGCATTCTGTCCATCTACAAAAAGAAAAAAAAAAAAAAAAAAAGGTGACGAGCACCTTCCTATGATAAAAGTCAGATGTACCTCAAAGTAGTTATGTTTGGGGGCCTTGAACATAATCTTAATTTTAGAGCTAGAGAATTTAATATGGTTATGTTGGGTGAGGTAGGGGTTAATTAACTCTTAAATGTTAAAGTTACTCTTATGTTCCATCACAAGGGAATACAAAAATTAAATCCTTCTGGCCAGATGCAGTAGCCAGCAGCTCCAGAGGCCGAGGCAGGAGGATCAAGAGTTCAAAGCCAGCCTCAGCAAAAGCAAGGCACTGAGAAACTCAATGAGACCCTGTCTCTAAATAAAATACAAAATAGGCTGTGGCAAAGTGGTCAAGTGACCCTGAGTTCAATTCCCAGTACCCAAAATAAAATAAATCATTCTGAAGCTATCTGAATTAAGATACAAGTTTTTTACCATTACATATTACACTATATGAATATGATTTTATCTATTGTAAGAGATAACCCTAAAGAATAAAAATCAACGTAGTTAAATATTAAATACTATGACACGAGATATTATCACACAGTTTGATCAGAGAAAGAAACCTAACACAATATACTCAATGAACTCTCTTTCTGGAAGATAATGAGGTTGACTATGAAAGTCACAGAGGCCCTGAGAAGGCCAAGAAGGAATGGACAAATTTAGTATATACTCAGTATAGTTTGTGATTACCTATGTGCCACCTACCACACTAGCTTCAACAGGGCAAAGAGGTACACCAATCTGGATGATTTATATAATCTTTTGAAGCCATTACATTTTTTGAAGAATTTAACCTTTATTTTTTTTTTATTTGCTTTTATGTGGTGCTGAGGATCTGACCCAGTGCCTCACCCATGCTAGGCAACCATTCTACCACAGAGCCACAACTCCAGCCCCAACTTTTTTAAAAAAAATTTTAAGTTGTTGATAGAAATAAATGAATAAATAAAGATCTATGTGGTGCTGAGAATCAAACCCAGTGCCTCACACATGCCAGGCAAGTGTGCTACCACTGAGCCACAGCCACAGCCCCAACTTTTTAAAAAACATAAAAACTAATCAGTAAATATAAACAAGCGTCCCTCTCCTGAGAGAACCTACTCTCTCCCTTTACTGTGTCCCCTTCTCTCCTTTCCTATCCTTTCTAATAAACTCATGCCTATTATTCTGAAAAAAATAAATAAAACAGGAAAAACTAAAACAAAGGCCAGGCATCCTAAAATGTTTGGGGGGATGGGAGAGGGGGACAGTGGAGAACTTTTTTTTTTTTTAACTGAAATACATTTTGAAAAATGGAGTAATTTTCAAATAGCCCTGTAACTTTTCAAATGCAGGATATTAAGAGTTCAAAACTTTAAGGCAAGCAACATTAAATAATTTTAAAACAATCTTATTTACTGTGGATATGAAAACAAATTGATCTTCTTGCACATGCACTGAATAGTTAAAAAAAAAAAAAAGAACAGATTTGGAACACACCTTGAGTGTGGAGGCAATACTAAATAGTAAATCCGGGATTATTAAATTTTAAGAAATGATTTTACAGCAAGGCACAGTGACGCAGACCTGTAGTCCCAGCTACTTTAGAGGTTAAGATGGGATCACTTGAGTCCAAAAGTTCAGAACCATCCTGGTCAACATAGCTAGATCCTATGTAAAAATTAAATAAATAAATAAAAATTTAAAAATATTTTTTTTAAAAAAGCTTTACAACTGCCACTGGAAGGGATATATTTTTTTTCTTTTTTCCTTATGTATGTCTATTAACTTTTTAGATATTCAAAATTAGGATACCTGTAGTAGGTTGGGTAGGATTATTCCTTGGTGGAGAGATGATTTAATCATTGGCATTAAGTCAAACACAAACATTTATCATCTGGGTAAAGCAACTATGGCTTAAACTCATTCCCTCAAACTCAAGTTTCCTAAAAACCTTTACTGCTTAAGACAAGTATAACTAAAAATACAAACAAGGAGAAAATCAAAAACATTACTGCATCCACCTACTTTGCTTAAGTGGTGAAGATTCATGCATTCAACAAGTATTTTTGGATGGAATGTACTACTCCGGACACTGGTGATGCAGCAATGAACAAAATTAAGTTCTAATCCTTCCGCAGCTGCCATTTTACTATCAACTATGATCTCA